AAAGCAACTTGATCACAGGCTTTTCTTGGCAATATTTGTTCAGAGAGGAGGTGGCCTTTGCCATCCTCTGAAACTGCAAGAGCACAATGTGCCCAAGGTCACCCAGGGGGATTCCATGGCCAAGCAGGGATTCAAACCTTATTCTCCAGTGTTGTAGTCTAACCCTCAATCCACTACAGCACATTGGCTCATGAAGAGCTTAGGACTCAGGTGGAGAGCTTAGGACTGCCTCACAAGTTACAACAGAGCAGGTATAAACTAAATGCTCAAGTGTCTATGCTTAGGAAGTAGGTGTTGAAGATCCTAGCTGTGACTTTTCAACAGAAAAAAACACATGGCTGACTCATGTGCTTCTGAACAGAGAGGAGCACCAGCTCTGGCCATTCTCAATACTTACTGCAAGGGCTACCTTCAGGCTACCAACATTTGTTAAGTCTAAAGAAAGAGTTTTGGTTTTGGTTTTCAAAAATGAAATGCTAAAATTTAAATAGGCTAATCTGCAAGATTAAGGTATGTGCTGCTTTTATATGTACTTGCTTGTTCTGCAATGCATGAAACAATCTGAATAATGGAGCAAAATCTGATAGTTGCTTATCCAAATAGATGATATTTGGAAAACTCTGAAATCTGCTTAAGCAACCTGTTTCTTAATATTTCAAGTAACATCTAGACTCAAATGTTTTTTCTTTAAGATGAGGATTTATGAGTTTTTTGTTTATATATACAGTGGTAGGTCATCTTTTCTAAGTACTGGAGGTATGGGTAGGAAATGGACTCTATGCTTCGGTATTAGTTAGCACACACTACTATTGACATAAGGAAATATAAGAGCAATGTACTGCTGCTTTGTTGCCAAGGGTATTGTATTCTCTTCCTGTTTCGGCAATGAACAAAAGTACCTGGGACTCATCAGTAATATTTCCCTTGTTGTGGCCATTTAGTGGCTGGTGAAGAGCAGGGGGGGTTGGAGAAGCATTATGCGATGCAATTATATCATCCATTGGGACCACTGGAAGACTTATTGGATGGTGTCCCTCATCTTTATCTGGCTAGAGGGACCTTGGTGGATGGTGTCACTCGTCTGTGTCTGGCTATGGGGACTTAGCTAAATGTTTCTTGGACTCACCCTCCTCGCATCCTCCATGAACAATGGAAGGATCCGAGGAAAGTGGAGGTGGGTGGTTGCAGTGAAATAATAAGTCCCAGGGAAGGGAGCATTACACCAGTGGTTCTCAACCTGTGGGTCCCCAGGTGTTTTGGCCTACAACTCTACCAGAAATCCAGCCAGTTTACCAGCTGTTATGATTTCTAGAAGTTGAAGGACAAAACATCTGGGGACCCACAGGTTGAGAACCACCGCATTACACCATAATGATGTAGGATATTGTCTATCATCTCTTAATTAAAAAATAAAGTGGGCTCCTGCCTCCTTAATTTGAATAATCTCTTAAAAAATCTAGTAACCTTCCTGGCAGTGTTTTCTGAAACTGTTGTAATATTTCCTCTCTGCTCCACCTTCCTAATGGCAGCCATAAACCATATTTTGCCATCTTACGATTTTGATGCACTTTATATTCTCATTCCTTGAGAGTTTAGCAGCAGCCAAGTGAGCATGAACAGAAATGACTAGTGTGCAGCACACAAGATGCTGACTAAGTCATCTGTATAATCTGCCTTCATGACAACCAAGCTTACTGATTTTTCAAAATAGGTTTCGTTATTTTAATTATTAAGCATTATGCCATTTTTTCCCATTACTGACATGTCCAATTTGCATTTTGTTAAGCAATACGAGGATTCTCTCCACAACATAAAATCTGCAGCTTTGAAGAGGCAAAAGGTTTGGATAGGATCAATGAGAGAATGCCACCAAGGAAAGATGTTCACCTGCAAAGCAGCATTAATTCCATGAATGCATCAAATACCAATAGAAACAATGGGACTGGTAACAACAACGGTCAGTGACCACCTCCTTTGCGTCACTGAAATTCTGTCTTGCCTGATAATTCCTAAAGGGCCGTTGCTTTATAGGATAACAGCCAAAACATCCCAAGGACATCCAGCCTTTTTTAAAACAAAGCAAGACTATTGCCTGATCTTACAAAACTGAAGCATGAAAGCTTTGGGAGTGATGATCACTCTCCTAAAAGTGATGATTATGGTATGAACTACATATTGTCAGAGCTGCCCTGCAAAGAGAGATCTGGGCAAAAGCTCACACTGTTATCATAACAGACTGACGTGTTACTCTTTAAAATAATTGTCGATGCTTTTTATGTTTACAGAACAGGATTGTCTTTTCAAAGAAGAGCTAGATTGGGGGGGGGGGAGGTTGTTTTGTTTAAAATCAGATTTTCAGATGTGCCCCTATTTATTTAACAGTCTTAAGAACTGTCTTGAAAACATAGTTTTGCAATGTTTTATATTGGTCTTAAAACAAGAATCTGAGGCTGCAGACAAATCAGTGTTTCAGATAAATAAGGGAAAATGCCAAAAAAATCTTAGTAACTGTAAATTGCTGATATCAGGTATACTGTTGCTAATAATGTATAAATTGATAACATTGTTTTTAATTAAAATTTAATCTCAAATTTCTATATAGAAATGTTTATTACTTGAAAGTAGCTTTTGGAAATATTTTCATTTAGAAACCTTTTGCCCAGCTTTCGAAGACTTTCCCCACACTTGAATCTTAAAATAAGTGTAACAATAAAAACAGAGTTAATTTAAAGTCTGAACTTTGAACTAAATGAACTTTGTATATTACATGTAAAGTAAATTTGATTCATATCATTTCTGTAAAGCTTGGCTTTGTATTTTTTTTGTGTGTGCATGTTTTCATTTTGAAAATATTTAATATATACACTTATGTATAGGAAAAAACATCTTTTGGGTTTTGCAGCTGTTATGACTATTTTAGTTCATTCAAGTTGCTTGAATAATTAATAAGGGGCTGAGTGACTGCAGATGTGCTGTTGTACTTCTGTAAAAGTATTATTTTTGCCATGCAATGCACAAGTATTCTGTTGGAAGTTAAGCTGATTGTGGAAAAAAGAAGAGCAAGATGCATGTTTTGTTTTTGCTAGTTCCTGGACTGTTTGGTTAAAGTAAAATCAAAAGCCAAGTGCTCATTTAACAAAGGATGAAGTGTAGTCACGTGCCACTTTACTTTCGTTCTCTTGATATTTTGCTACATACATTTTGAATTTAATATGCCAGTGGATTTCATCTCCCTTTTTCGCCTCAAAATACAGTCAGGACATGACCTTTGTGTGAGTTAGCCATTTGTGCATGTTGGAAACCATTCACATATTTTATAAAAAAAATTGCACAATAAATTTTGTGTTTGGGCCATCATCAGGTGTTGGTTTTGGTTGTTTTTTTACTGATAGAAATGGCTAGAAAACATACTTAATGGAAATAACATAGTATAAAAATTAGGATTCACAAATCATACCTGGGCGAAGCTTATTAAAATGGCAATGGAATTTTTCCTTGTAAAAGCAGTGAAAATTTACAAAACGTGTATAAGCCATTTGTTTTTAATAGTTTATCATTATTTCTACTAATGCCAGGCATCTATTATTGTTTTCTAAAGTTGCTTTTATAAAAAAATATTTGCTATATAGCAGAAGCAAACAGCACAAGATATCTTATCCACACTGCCTCCCAACATTTCAAACTTTGTGTGTAAATGTGTTGCACAGGTTGTCATATTGTGGTCTTCCCAGTTCACGGATATGGCTCAGAAAGGGAGAGAATGATAATGGAAGTAGGCTGTTTCAAGGATATGTCTCTATCACCATTGATCTTTGAACTGAACATCCCTAAATTATCCATTCTAGTAATACTACATTAAATAACAAGTACAAATTTTCAGTTGATTTATGTGAAAGATTATCTTTCCATTTAGGCAACTAAAAATATCATTTTACATGAGGGCTCCTCAAACTACAGTTCATGAGCCAGATCTAGCCTACCATGGTCTCTTCCACAACCCTCAAATAACCCTGCTGTGCTTGCCCCAACCATGCACACAGGCACCCCCTGCCATAGAGGGAAGGAAGGCGGGAGAAAAGGAAAGAAAAGAGGGAGGGAGAAAGGAGGAAAGAAAGGGAAGGAAGGAGAAAAAGGAAGGAAGGGGGAAGGAATGGAGGGAGGGGAAAGGAAGGGGAGAAAGGGTAGGAGAGAAAAGGGAGGGGAAAGAGGAAGGTAGGAAGAGAGGAAAAAGAGATAAAGGAAGGGGGCGGGGCTGCTGCTTCCACAGTTGCCTTTTTTTTGCCCTCAAAAAAACACCAAAAAGCATTTCATTCAGTTATCTTTGCTTTAGGTTCTTTTAATCTTACACAAACATATTTTAGATGTCTCCATCAAGTCACTTTTATGGCTCCTTTTTTATAAACACAGCTTTGTTTCAATTAACTTTACATGAAACATGACAAAAATACTATGAATGAGTTTACTGGCATTTCTATAACACCCATGCCAAAACTTTTGGCAATATTCTTCCAGTTTGCTACCCCTTTACAGACAACATGCAAGACGTGCAACAAAATCTTCAATTGTGCAGATTCAAGGACCCACATGGGCCAGTTAGCCAGGCCTTTTTCTAAGAAGACTAGTTCCACCTACGCATGGCATGGGAGCCCACGCACCACATCCCTTTTCCCTCCCAACTGATGCATAGTGCCTTGTGTCATTCTGTAGGGCAGTTGAGGCGCTACCCCTTCGTTGTTCCCCAGGAGTATGTTATTCTGAAAACTGAAGGATGCCCTTACTCATGATGCCACATTTTCCATATGCCTGGGTGGTGCTACATTGTCTACCTTGAGTCTGAAACTTGAAGGATGATTATAATTTTCTACACAGAAACTGACTGGAATTTGAGGATATGTCCCTGTGTTTGTCCTATGAAAGCTTATAATGAGAAGTGTGATTTACATTTAAGTGTTATTAGACTGTTGCCCCTATAACAAAATTAAAAAGACATCTCACACCAGTTATGTAGCAAGTATCTTATTTTTATATATTATAAAGTACAAGATTTGCATTAAATTTAAGGCTATTATATGTGCAAAATAAAATCTCTTCAAATCAGCCAAAGCATACTTATTTGTATATTCTAGGATAACTTATATGCTGCGATATAGTTGGCTCTTTGCCTACCCAGCTGCTTCTTCTGGTCCAAAGATGCTCTCTACTGGCCAACGATGGCCAAGAGCAAGCGTCTATAGTCTCCACTTGTGTCACTTGATATCATTGTGGCCAAAGTCTTCTGGAACATCTGAGTGAACAGCATTTTTATTTGCACAAGGTCAATCTGTGACAAAGGAAACACATTTATTATGTAGCGGATAATTGGAAACCGGGAAGGGAAGGGGAAAGGAGAAGGAGGCTAATTCTCTTTGCAAGATTTGGGTATGGCTTCATTCTCAACAGGGCAAATGCCTATATCTCACAAAAGCATGGGTTTTGGCAAAACGAGCTGCACTCGGGAGCTGCCTCATTTCATACTCGTTATTGAGGATGGGGAAAAAAAGACAAGACAGTGTTGGGCAGAAAAAAATAGCTCAGAGTGAGAGAAAGCCAAGAGATCGCAAACTGAGCTTGGGTTTAAAGTCAGTACCAATTATCTGCCTTTTTACCCAGACTTTGGTGATCTGGCAACAATTCCTTGAAGAGATTCTCCTTGTATTTTAACATGCCACTAGACTACTTGAGCAAAAATTGGCAGGCTGCCAAGCCAGCATTATTTCTGCAGAATGCAGAACATATTCTGATGGAAATCTGACGGTCTATGCATTAGGTGCATGCTGAATTGGCCAGAACTATTTTTTTTTTCAAAAAGAGACTGCATTATGCAGTCAAGTCCAACAAGTCCATTCTCCACTCTTTTAATTAAAGTCTTCCTGCCAGCCCTGTTCTCTCTCATCAGAGTCAAAAGTCTTAGAGAACAATTGGAAAGTGAAATAATGAATCAGTTACATGCCGTGGCAGTGAGCCGCCAGGCAACTTGAAGGCACCTGTTAGACCAGCTTGGAGATAGAGAGATTAATCAGTGCCTTTAATTAAGTACATCTTAAGTACAAGATAAACAACACTTCTTACCTCGCTGCGAGTGACTACAATTCTGACCAGTGTTGAATCATCCGTTCCCGCTCCTTTCATGGCATGATAAAGTCTCTCTGCAAAATAGGCTGGGCGATTCAAGGCACACTGCACTGCAAGGAAATAGATCTGCATTAATGTCCATGTTGATATCCATAGCTCACACCAGCTCTGATTCTAGTAGCAACTTTCCACCTTATGGTGATCCCAAAGCAAACCTATCACAGGTTTGTTTCTTGGTGAGATTTGTTCAGAGAGGGGTTGCCTTTGCTCTCCTCTGAGACTCGGAGAGTGACTTCACCCACTGTGTTTCTGTAGTTAAGTAGAGATTTGTACTCTTCCAGAGTCTTAGTACAACACTCAAACTGCTGCATCACACTGCTTTAATTCAAACTGCATTTTATCTCATCTTACTCACATTTGTGCTTTTTGTTCACATCATTGTCACACTATTAATTAAAATGGTTACAGATGTGTCTTAATGTTAAGAAAAATGCATAGTTAAGCTAATTCTGTTTTGGAAAAAAATGTCTTAATCATGCAGTTGTCCTCTTATTTTGTAGGCTTCGTGCCACTTGTCTGGAATGAGGAAGGTTTCTGACCAAAGGTAAAGGTTTTCCCCTGACATGAAGTCGTTGTATCCGATTCTGGGGCGTGGTGCTCATCTCCATTTCTAAGCCAAAGAGCCGGCGTTGTCCACAGACACCTGCAAGGTCATGTGGCCAGCATGACTGCATGGAGCACTGTTACCTTCCCGCCAGAGCAGTACCTATTGATCTACTCACATTTGCATGTTTTCGAACTGCTAAGTTGGCAAAAGCTGGGGCTGACAGCGGAAGCTCACGCCGCTCTGCGGATTCGAACCTGCGACCTTTCGGTCAACAAGCTCAGCAGCTCAGTGCTTTAACCCACTGCACCACCGGGGGCTCCTGGTTTCTGACCACTTAACCAATTTTGTCAGGGATTCCTCCAGAACCTAATTATATGTAAGTGCTTGGCATGAAAACCGAAGAGTAAAATACGGGAAATATCTTACAGATAGCCTTCAGGCCACGTTCAACATTTCCTGAGAATTCTCGTCCAATGCTACTCAGTAAATCACGATTAGCAACCTGCAAAGAAATGATAGGAAAACGTTTAATTTTTTGTCAAATCCAGCCATGTCCTCTTCAGCCCACATTTATTTGATATATAAAAAATAACAATTCATCTAGTACTCCATTTCCTATTCTTAAATCTACCTGAGAATAGGCTTCAACGGTGGCTTTCAGCTGGGGAAAGCTTCTAGATGCCAGGATCATATTGAAACAAGATTCATCTGTCCCCAGTTTTCCTTCACCTGCTTGGTAAAGCCTCTGAGCATCTTGTTGAGCTTTTTGGTAATCGACATTTGGATTCTCATCCCGATTGCCCTGCAAGAGAAGGGGGGGGGGAGTATAAAATTACAACCATTATACAATATACTCACTTCCAACAAATTGCCTGAAATTACTGAGAGCCTAATGGGAACAATGTGTTCCATTAATGTACTTTGCATCATTTCTTATAACAGATGTCTAATATCTTGCCAATCGCCATTATTCAAAACGATGCTTTGGGCACTGACCATGAAGGAGATTAAATCCCATTATTACCCACGCCAGGCAAGGATCACATAATTTTAATACGAAGATTCAATTATTCCTTCAAGAAGCATCTTCCCTATTCCTCCAAGAGCTGGATCAGGAAAGTCATAGGCATAAAGGAGAAGAGACTGGCACAAAAATGTGAAATTCAGGCAAGAGGGACATACACAAAAGTGCCACTATAAAAGGGGAGGGGTTGCCGCTTCCAGTTAGTACAATACCCTGTGTATCATTCCTAGTCCATAGGAAAAAGACACCCACGAAGGAGATCTACTAAAGCAAGTAGCCCAAAAACATGTTCATCTTACCTGACACATAGATACAAGCAATCGTTCAAAGTGCCCTGATGTATCGGAACGAATATCCTGCTCAATGTCTCTTCCAAATTCAGTTTTGTAACACCTGACTATTTCTCGGATCTCTTGATTGGTCCTTGTGCAAAGAATCTCAATCAATACATTCTCCTGTGTTCCTGCACCCTGCAAAGGGGGAAACAAATGGTCACAATTCATGTGTGTAACTCCACAAAAGACAGCTGGGAAAACTTGCAGAAAATGGAATGGATCTGATGAAGCAGCAGCACCTTTGAGACCATCATTCTCCAGACACAAGTAACACCTATTTCTGTTTATTTCCAACCAGTTTGAGAACAGAATCTAAAAAAATATGTTTTTTACAAGTCCGGGAGAGAGACTGTACATGAAAAATGAAATTTTGTCTGTACAAATACTGAAAACTCTTCCATAAAAACTGCAAACAACGCAAAAATTCTTTGTCACTTAATCACATCAATCTTCCTCAGTGAATAATAAGGCAAATATTATCAGGAACTGGTTCCCTTGTTTGTACTGCTCTGCTTATCATGGTGGGAGTGGTTACAAAGTCAAATCAAATATATTATGACGTACGAGTCAGCCTTCACACACCAAGCATGAACAGAAATAGAGGACTTACAGAAACGTGTGATTCCCCACTCAATTTGGAAAACTTCATGATGTTGCTTCTCACGCATCCTTTTAACCCAGGATGGGCTATTCAAATGTAACACATGTATCTATTAAATAAAAATTAATTTTGCAAAGGGAGTCCTTTCCCTCCAAAATCAATGGAAATCTACTGTATTTTAAAATCATGGTAAGTATTGCACCCAAAGACAAGATGAATGGTGTTTCAGGCATGGAGGAGTACAAGACTAACATTCCTTAGTTTGATAAGCAAAATATATTGATTTACTCGCAAGAAAAGACTTTTCTCATTTGGTTACTAGGTATGTCAAATGAGTATATTGGTAATATAAAAAGAGCAAGAACTTAAACAGGCATGCAGTCTATCAAACGTATGGCATAAAATCTTATTTATTTACTACACTTGTACCCTGCCCTTCTCACCCCAAAGGGGACTCAGGGCGGCCTTACAACGGGCAGTGATTTGATGCCATACACATATATATCCAGAAAATAAACATATTTGTTTATTTTCAGAACATATATGTGTATGGCATCAAATCACTGCCTGTTGTAAGGCCGCCCTGTTAAAACATCAATTATTAAAAACATCAATTCAATCTTAGCAGTTTTAAACTAAATTTGAATTCCTATAAGCAACTGTAACAATATACAGTGTTGACTATCTTCCCATTTATAATAACTCATATATCACTTTTTCATGCATATGGAGTAAGCATAATTTATGGCCCTATGCGGGTGGGGAAACACCAATTAATTAGGAAATTATATCATTTTGTGTCTGAACCTTGAGGCTCTTGTAGTAAACAAATTAGATGCTGAAAACCAAAAGTCTTGCCACAAAAGACAAAATATAGAATTATTTATTTTCTCAGTGAATATTGATGATTGATTGCATTGCATTGATATTTTGTCTTTCTCTCAGAATGAGACCCAAGAGAGTATTGACTTCAACTGAGAAATACAAAGCCCTGTACTTAGGATGGCACTGTTAAAAACTGACTTCTCCAAAGTAAACCAAGAAACATCAGAAAAGCTACAAGAGTCCTACATTGTTTACACTCCAAACACAGCTTTAATAGGGATTTACACCAATGCAGGATTTTCCCTAGTGAACAACTGAGCAGCTAGAATATTACTGACAATAAAACTGGAAAAGGCAACAAAATTTACTGTTACTCCCAATTACTTTAGTTCTACTTTATTTATTTGTGTCGTTTCTTTCAGTGAAAACAATACCTTCATGGCATGCCGTAAACTCCAGGCATCATAATAGGTACTTGGCATGAACAATGCAAGGATCAGCTCTTCCATATTTCCACTTAGTTCAGACTTCAGATCTTTAATTAAATCCTGTCCAATTACAAGGCAAAGGTCAGAGAAATACACACAAGCAACCAAGCACATATTGAAATAAATTGCCTACATGTCTGTTGCAATGCCTAGCAATCACATCTGCTTATTGGAGCCCTGGAAACATATTTTCAATATTGTTCTTCTGTGCCTTCAAGTTATGCCTGCCTTATGGCAACCCTAAGGTGAACCTATCACTGTGTTTCCCTAGCAAGATTTGTTGAGAGGGATTGTGTCTTTGCTGCCCTTTGAGGCAGAGAGAGTGTAATTTACATAAGGCCACCCAGTGGGTTTTCATGGCTGTGCTGAGATTCAGACCCTGGTCTCCTCAGTCACAATTCAGCACTCAAATCATTACACCACACTGCCTTAATTAATTGAAATATAAATAAGTGATGAGGATAGATCAATTTTAAAAGAAATTGTTTTCTGTTTTTGATAGCAGGACTCAAATGCGCAAAAACAGGATTCCTTCTGAAGAAAGGCTGTGCGTGCACCTGTGCCTTTCATGTTGCTATGTATCTATTACTGTTATCGCAGCTTGACAAGTATTGATCTGTTTGGTGAAAAAGTCAACTTAACCTCAATCAAAGTCTCATTTCTCAGCTCATTTTTGAACAGTTCACAGCCGTACGATTGTACCAGCAAAGCACAGCAAGAGGCTTTGTTCGCTGCCAATGTCCTTGAAAACAGGTGCAGAATAGATCTGAGCTTTGACCATATAAAATAAAAAGGTTCCCTGGATATGCATGCCAACTTCTATCAGTCCTCAAGGGCCATACCAAACTGCATTGTGTTTAATAAGTTATTTAATTTTTGTTGCATTAAAGTGGGTGTGGGGGGTATTCAGAGGCGTGGTGGGTATTCAGAGGCGTGGCTTGTTTTTTCAAATACAAAACTGTTCCATAAATGTGTGCTGCATTTTATTCCAATGACACAATGCTAGCATGCTGAAGATAAGCTGGCAAGCAAAACAAATGTCAAACTGAGGAGTCGTGTTACAGGTCTCACTTTGTTTGAACAGATCAACGCACAAGCCATTCACCCCTGAGCTCTTGCTGATTTGCCTCCCTTTTTGATGATGAAAAAAGAATCATCCATAGCACAAACCTTGCCATACATGGTCTTGAAAGCAGCCTTAATTTGTTGCCTCTGAGCATTAGAGCGGTTGGACACAACATCAATGATGGCCTGTTCATCAGTCCCTACGAAGCAAGAAGACAAGTGTTGCCCAAACTGGAATAGGAAGATAAAAGCCTGTCACTTCTGGGCTCAAACACCTTTAAAAATAAATACTGTATAATCCAGGGAGTGTCCAATGCTGGCATGTGTAGGACACATTTTATAATAAAAATGCACAAAATGTGTGTGAGACATAAATGTTCACAATCTACTTCATTCCACAGTTATATAAACCTCACTTGTCTAGTTTCCAAAAGACGCCTGCCATAGATGTGGATGAAATGTCACGAGAGAATGCTTCTCGAATGTGGCCATAAAGCCCAGAAAGCTCACAGCAATCCAATCTACTTCTGGTTCAGAAGTAATATTTTTAAACATTGATCATGGCAGAAGTGTCCTTTAATCTATTTCAATGGCAAATTACTCCTCCTGGAAGCTTCAAAGGGAAATTCATCTTTCTTTCTTTTTTTTAAAAAAGAAATGGTGGTCTGCAAAAATTGTGAGAAGACGTCAAGCAACCCCTCAAATAGAGGCTACACATCAAGCACACAAACATGTAACTCCCAAGACTATATTTAGCCCAACACAGTGCCCTTCTCCCAAGCCAAAGCAGTCCTTACCAAAACCCTTCATAGCCTTGCGGAGAATCTCAGCATCTCTCCCTGCATCAAAGTTAGCAGCTGGTCTAATCGTGCCTTGTGTGGCTTGAATCATTGCTGCAGGCTGAGGACAAGGAATGCCTGTGTTACCATATTACTCGCCTTTATCAAATGCTTATTCAACACTACTACTGAAATTTTGAATACAGTACTTAGGAGAAATGAGAAAAGACAAAATCATGGAGCCAATATATTGTAAAATCTACTGATGCTAAATCCACACAGATCTGCTAACATTTATTATGTTCTAGGTCAGGGGTCCTCAAACCTTTTAAACAGAGGGCCAGGTTACAGTCCCTCAAACTGTTGGAGGGCCAGACTATAATTTGAAAAAACATGAATGGATTCCTATGCACACTGAACATATCTTATTTGTAGGGCAAAAACCCCACTTTAAAAACAATACATTAATTAAAATGAAGAACAAATTTAACAAATATAAACTTATTAGTATTTCAATGGGAAGTGTGGGCCCGCTTATGGTTGATGAGATAGGATTGTTGTTGTCGTTGTTGTGTGCTTTCAAGTTGTTTCATACTTAGGTTTACCTTGAGCGAAGGCCAGGTAAATGACTTTGGAGGGCTGTATCTGGGCCCCGAGCCTTAATTTGAGGACCCCTGTTCTAGGTGAACACAATTGACTCAGTTTAGGTGATAAAACATAAGACAATAAAAGTGGCTCGTACAAAAGCTGTATGTTTTCCCTGGCCCACTAAAACTGCTTCCACACAGGGAATTACTTCAGATCATAATGTGGATTATAGAGATCCAGTTCATTCTGGAGTGCCTTCACAGGCACCACATGAACTGGCTGCAAGCTGCAAAGGAGTTCACACAAAGCCACCAGAGCTCTATAATCCATATTCTGATCCTGGCTCAATCAAAATTAATATGTTTTCCTTTTCTTTCTTCCCCTTACCTCCTGGCAGACATAAACAGCTTCCCAGTGCTGTGCTTTCATTGTCCACAGGCGGGGTGGGGGGAAGGCATTCGTTTACCTTCTGTGTAGACTGTGCAGCTGCTTTTTCACTCCAATTGATCCAGCTTAAGTCCTGTTTACATCTGTGCTCCATGTTTGCCATTCGGTTCCTTCCTGTGCCTGATTTATACACAGGAGGGATGCAGCAGATTGCATTGCTTGAATTGGGATTTCTAGTGATTTTTTTTATCACACTGTTTCTGACAGAATTCACTTGAAGGGCTTATGTTTTCTAGACATCCCAACCGCAAGCTGGCTTGAAGCCAGATTTTAGTGCCTGTGTAGATGGGGCCTAAGTTTGTATTTTGATTTAAACCAGATTTTTATGAAATGATTATATATTATTCCAAAAAAAACAAAAACAAAAACAAGAAAGATTCCCAAGATAAACTCAAGAGAGGAGATTTCCCTCAAACATTGAATGCAAACATACATTTTTGAAGTTCAAGAGATTACAGTAATATAATCAGGATAATATAGGTTGCTTGTAATAATGCTGCAAGTTTCCTTTTATTTCTATCAAATAAAATCAAACTGAAAAGCAAAAGTGATTCTTGGACATTCTTTTGCCATCCAAACTACTCTAGGAAGAGCAAGGATTTTTGCAAATATGGTGTCTGCAGAAGTCTTATACACTGGTTTGCAGAACTGGAACTTAAGGCACCGTTGCCAAAACAAATTGCATTTTGCGCTGAATGAAACAAACATTATTCATGTATATAATGAGAGCAGAAACAACATACCTGAGAAGGTGTGGGGCTAGGTGTTTGTCCACCAGGATACCCAACTTAAGAGAAAGATAAAATTGAGGTAAGATTCTCACATGTGAACATGTTGCATTCATAGGAGAGCTGTGTAAAGAGGTCTGAAACATTCATAGTGCCATAAGCATCCTTGCAATCATGCCACTTTATCTCCATTTCTGGACTCCTACTTCTTTCCCTCTCCTGCCTCCTGTTTACTAATTAGCAATAGTCTGAAGCTATCATTTCTAGGACAGGCTGTATGTTGTGGTTCAGCCAGAGGCTGAAGATGAGGGGATGGTTCAGTCAGAGGTTGTGAGGAATTATGGCCTTTCCAGTGTGGGAAATGAAGAGATTTTGGAACATGACTGTCTGGGAGGATAGGTCTGTGTCTGGTCAGAAAGAAACGGCTTCAGAGCAGCAGGTAGATGGAGAGGCTTGGGCTTCTGCAGATAGGGAAGATCTTCCCCCTGGTCGTTCCTTGGCAACAGAAGATAATGAGCTAGAAAGATCTTTCCTCTGGGAAAACACCTGAGGTCTGTAGGAGTTTGAGACTCTATCTCCGGGAGGAGAGAGTCAGATTACAGAGGTCACAGAGACTCCGTGACAAATCCTTGAAACAGACCAGATGTCAAAGGCATGAATTCATGGCTTATGGATCTTAAATTAAAATGTTATTTACTGAAATAGTTAGAGCAGGCAACATTGCTTTACCGTGTACACCTTATATCTGGTTCCATGTTCAAGTCTGCCGAAGAGCTTTGGAAAAGTCTTGTGCTCATGTTCATGTATTCGTGTTTTGGAAGAAGTTCCTGTATTCCTGGTTATGGAATTATGCTTATGTTTTGATTCCTGTTTTTTTCATGTACCTTGTCTCTTTTGAACAGAACGTTGATGTTTGGAAGCCTCTTGTCCCATTTGAAAGCCTCTTGTCCCATTGCCTTTTGGACATTGCTTTTTACATTGCCTTTTTATATTTACTTTCTTCAATAAACTGTTGAATTAGTAACATTGGACTGCTGTGTGGTGATGGGTGCAAAGTTGACTTCAGGCCCGAGTGCAACACTAAAGCTCCCAAAGTACCAAAAAAGATAGAAATCTGACTCTACACTATATATACCATAAGAAGCAACCTACAGAGTTTAGGAGCTCAAGAGGAGGTCACTGGTTTTTGCGTGTTCACATCCTAATTTATCCCTTTTCTGCATCAATTTACTTACTCTTCTTCTTGGGATTTTAACACTGGCGGAGTTAGTACCAAGTATTCCATGGCACCAATTAGGTGCCAGCCCGTTTTAAAAGCTAATCACTTGTGCATTTGTACGTAATCAATATTTCATGTCTATTCAGTAGAAGATAAAAACATATTAATGCACCAAAACTTAGTTGACTTAAAACATGTTTAATTTTAAATCCTTTTAAAACAAGCATCATTACAATTTGTTATTTTAATGGTATAAGATGAAAATAGCAGATTATACCTGGCATTTGTGAAGGTGCACCCCCACCATACGTTTGGGATGGAGGTTGTGGGTAGCCAAAGCCAGAACCGTTTGAGGGTGCCCCAAACCCAGCCCCTGGAAAAATATAAAAAGGGTTTTTAAAGAGTACAATTCTAATACAATGTAAATGTAACCAAACATATTTTCAAATACAATTAACAAAAAAGTAAATATAACATAAATATGTTGGCACAATTTTACATTATACATTCAAATGGCTGCAAAATGTTCTGTAAAGTTCAAAGGATACAAAGCATTAAATATACAGAAGAATATCTTCATAAAACATCTAGCAATTCTTCCTTTTTTAGTAGTACTGATAGTAGTAGTAGTAGTTTATTAAAGCCTTGGCCATAGGTTATTTTCATACAAAAGAAATAAGTACAATATAAAAGTACTATCTTTATTCATTTATACATAATGCTATTTCATGTTCATTTTTCCTTAAGGTGTAGGGTTTCAGAATGTGAACGGAAAATGTAAAAACACTAATCCAAAATGCTGGATCAGCTTAATGAAAGCCAATGCCGTTCGAAATGCGTAACCTGTATGAAAACACAGACATTGTAAACAACCCCCAGCCAGCTCTATTGTGTCCCAGAGTTTCTGGAACAAACCCCTGAGAAGCTTTGCTTTGTTCATTGACATAACCCACCCCTAAGGTTACCAGCGCCTGGACTACTGTGGCTAAACTATTGCTGTCCGGAACATCTGAACAGGGGAAAGTGTAAGCTTTATCATAGTAGCTTGTATTGTGCATCAGGGACAGTTCCCAAGCATCTCCAGATATGACATTGTCTTTTTCGTGGGAGTGAAGCTTTGTCCAAAACAGGCAAATTGCCTAGTTTCAAGACCCAGGACCCACTTAGAAAACTGTCATTGCACTAACATTAAATCAGCTTTTATTTGTCCACATCGAGCCCAGCACTGCATCCAGTCACAGGTCCAGAACTTCCACGGGTTCTCCTGATTGAGATGTGGCAGAGTCAGCTGATGATGATATGCTTCACAGCCCCCAATAACTGTTCTCAACAGCTTCATACGAATGGCTGGGGGTTGGGGGCAGAACTGCCATCCTCCCAACATACTTAGGGATTGCACACATAGACACCCCAAATCCAGTGGCTAGGCCCCATTTTCACCTCTAAAACAGGCACTTCCATTTTAAAACAAACTACTAATTTGTAAGCAAATTACAAACTGGGTACCAGACAAAGCACATTCTACCTAAATGCCTTGCTTTATATCTGACTGATATGTTGGACCATGCCTGGAAATAACCTGGTACAAAGAATCAGGACCAAATTATATATATATTATATAATATATAATATAAGTGAAGAACAGATTTGAAGGACTAGATTTAGAAAACAGAGTCCCAGAAGAACTATGGACAGAAGTCCGCGACATTGTTCAGGAGGCGGCAACAAAGTACGTCCCAAAGAAAAAGAAAACCAAGAAGGCAAAATGGTTGTCTGCTGAGACACTGGAAGTAGCCCAAGAAAGGAGGAAAGCAAAAGGAAACAGGGATAAGGAGAGATATGCCCAGTTAAATGAGCAATTCCAGAGGTTAGCCAGAAGAGATAAGGAACTATTTTTAAATAAGCAATGCATGGAAGTGGAAGAAGACAACAGAATAGGAAGGACAAGAGACCTCTTCCAGAAAATTAGAAACATGGGAGGTAAATTTCAGGCAAAAATTGGTATGATAAGAAACAAAGATGGCAGGGACCTAACAGAAGCTGAAGAGATCAAGAGAAGGTGGCGAGACTATACAGAAGATCTGTATAGGAAGGATAATAATATTGAGGATAGTTTTGACGGTGTGGTGAATGAATTAGAACCAGACATCCTGAGGAGTGAGGTTGAATGGGCCTTAAGAAGCATTGCTAACAACAAGGCAGCAGGAGACGACGAGATCCCAGCTGAACTGTTTAAAATCTTAAAAGATGATGCTGTCAAGGTGATGCATGCCATTTGCCAGCAAATATGGAAAACACAAGAATGGCCATCAGACTGGAAAAAATCAACTTATATCCCCATACCAAAAAAGGGAAATGTGAAAGACTGCTCCAACTACCGTACAGTGGCCCTTATTTCTCATGCCAGTAAGGTAATGCTCAAGATCCTGCAAGGAAGACTCCAGCAATACATGGAGCGAGAGTTGCCAGATGTTCAAGCTGGGTTTAGAAAAGGTAGAGGAACGAGAGACCAAATTGCCAATATCCGCTGGATAATGGAGAAAGGCAGGGAGTTTCAGAAAAACATCTACTTCTGCTTCATTGACTATTCTAAAGCCTTTGACTGTGTGGATCATAATAAATTGTGGCAAGTTCTTGGTGGGATGGGCATCCCAAGCCACCTTGTCTCTCTCCTGAGGAACCTGTACAAGGACCAAGTAGCAACAGTAAGAACTGACCATGGAACAACAGACTGGTTCAAGATTGGGAAAGGCGTACGGCAAGGCTGCATCCTCTCACCCAACCTTTTTAACTTGTATGCAGAACACATCATGCGATGTGCGGGGCTTGATGAATGCAAAGCTGGGGTGAAAATTGCTGGAAGAAACATTAACAACCTAAGATATGCAGATGACACCACTCTGATGGCCGAAAGCGAGGAGGAGCTGAGGAGCCTTCTAATCAAGGTGAAAGAAGAAAGCGCAAAAGCTGGGTTGCAGCTAAACGTCAAAAAAACCAAGATTATGGCAACAAGAATGATTGACAACTGGAAAATAGAGGGAGAAACCGTGGAGGCCGTGACAGACTTTGTATTTCTAGGTGCAAAGATTACTGCAGATGCAGACTGTAGCCAGGAAATCAGAAGACGCTTACTTCTTGGGAGGAGAGCAATGTCCAATCTCGATAAAATAGTAAAGAGTAGAGACATCAGAATGGCAACAAAGATCCGCCTAGTCAAAGCCATGGTATTCCCTGTAGTAAACTACGGATGTGAGAGCTGGACCTTAGGGAAGGCTGAGCGAAGGAAGATCGATGCTTTTGAGCTGTGGTGTTGGAGGAAAGTTCTGAGAGTGCCTTGGACTGCGAGAAGATCCAACCAGTCCATCCTCCAGGAAATAAAGCCCGACTGCTCACTGGGGGGAAAGATACTATATAGAGACAAAGTTGAAGTACTTTGGCCACATCATGAGGAGACAGGAAAGCTTAGAGAAGACAATTATGCTGGAGAAAATGGAAGGAAAAGGAAGAGGGGCCGACCAAGGGCAAGATGGATGGATGGCATCCTTGAAGTGACTGGACTGACTTGAAGGAGCTGGGGGTGGTGACGGCCGACAGGGAGCTCTGGCGTGGGCTGGTCCGTGAGGTCACGAAGAGTCGGAGACGACTGAACGAATGAACAACAACAACAACAGGTCCTTTCCTGAAATATGGTATTATTTACAGCAACATTGTTTATGACGGCAGGTTAATGAGGACTATGTTGCTGTAACATGTAAGTTATTTTAATAATTGCAGAGTGAGAAGGAAGGAAGACCATCACATAGTTGATGTTATGCCTTGTGCTTCAGTCCATAATTTGTGGGCAATGAGAGTTCAGGTTTTCAAGGGATGTAATTATTGCAGTTGCTTTTGAGAAATGCAAAGCAAATTCTTACTTTCCTTTGGAATTTTAACTGTAACCAAAAAAGAACTTTCAACCTTTGCTTTTGCAATGAAAACTGGATTTCCATAACACTGCATTGTCTATTTTGGGTTGACATGGTGATGGCCATGTGGCAGGCACTAGAAAGGGCAGAAATGCAGCAGGGGGAAAATGCAAGTTGCTCAACACTGATTTAGATGTTAAAATAGAATTTGAGACATGGTGAGAATTGTCACAGGGCTAAAAATGATGTAATCAACTCTGGAAATAGCATCAAAAGGGGAAGATACTGTGATCAATTGAAAAAAATGTCACTGGAAGAGTGAGGAAGCCCATGGCCACTTTGGTCCTTCTACGTATTTGTTTTGACTCTAAAAACCCACAATTGTATCAAACCCAGTTATTTAGCCTCCTTCATACTGGACCTTATAAGCACCCAAAAGCATGACAATTGGAAGTTATGCATTTAGGTTTCCCCTCCTGCCCTAAGTACCTTTGAACTTTCTGAATAGAATGGCATAAACACTGTAACAGTAAAGACCAAGGACACACATGCTTTTTTGTTATTTTGCTTGAATTACATGAAGCAGGCATTCAGCTAGAGAGTAACTTAACAGCAGAAAGCATTTAGGCAAGTTACCTCCGGGATACGCTGGCATCCCACCAGGCTGAGGAGCCCCAGGGTATCCACCAGGCGCAGGGGGATATCCTCCAGATGCAGGCGGGTATCCTGCCGTTGCGGGGAATCCTCCAGCCGGTGGGGCAGCGGGATAGGCACCACCACCCATCGGTGGGAAGCCTCCAGGCACAGCAGGGTAAGGATATTGACCAGCTGGAGGATAAGTGGAGTCTTGCCCTGTGGGCTGAACACATACAAACTGAGCTTCACAACACACAGAGGCCATTGTTACTTTAACTCAGAAATGGTAGATACAAGCTATGCTGACCCAACATTGAGAAAGGAATTCACAAAAGCCTCAAAATGTATACTGAGCTTCTTGCTTCAGCTCTATCACCACCTTCTAGATCTTAAGATACACACACATGCACAAAAACTCATAGAATGGATTGATACATTGAATAATCATTAAGAAAGCTTTAAAAAGCTTGAGTAGGATTCAAGGTAGAGTAAGCTTGGTGTAGTGATTTGAACTATGACTCTGAAGATCAGGGTTTGAATCCGTGCTTAGGAATGGAAACCCACTGGCTGACCTTTGGGTAATTCACACTTTCTCAGCCCCAAAGGAAAGCAAGGCAAAAACCAGTGATAGGATTGCCTTAGGGAAGCCATATGTCAAAAATGATTTAAGGCGCTCTCACAACAAGAAAAACAGGATCCAAACAGCCACTGTTTTTAACTTGGTGCAGTAGGTCAAGCAAAAAGAGTGACTGCTCCAAAGACATTCAGTGTCCTTCATGGCTCATGGGGGTTAAAGCCATGATCTCCCAAGTCCTAGTCCAGCAATCTAATGAACACTTACCGGATAACCAGGAAAAGCAGGGTAGCCAGAGGGAGGATATCCTGGATATGACATTCTGCAAGAAAGAGAAATATACCTGAAAGTCTGAATGTTTATCAATTTTTTTCAAATTTCAGCTCCCAGATGGGGAGTAATTTTTGTTGCTCATCTATGGTTTTATCTATGCAATGACAGAATGGGTAAATGTGGAAAGTTAGGGACTGCATTAGCCCAGCCCACCTCCCAAAACCTCTGGAGACTTTGGAGGATCTCAGCCTGCACTGCTACTCCCACCAAAAGCACCATTTTTGATCCCAAATGACATGAGGAATTGCCTCTGTGTTTTGGGGTTTCTTGAGCCATTTAACTACAGGATGTGAACAGTAAACACTTCTCGTTTCAAAAAGGCCTCAAGTGGCTTATGGGGAAACGTGATAGAAATGTCCCCCAGGCCTACTAGGGGGTATTTGGGGGAAGAAATTTATATTTGAGACAAACAAACAAAAATAAGCCAAGAGGACAGCACTTTGCCAACCCTTGCTATCATGGTGAAAATGCAAATTGAGGTATACAGAGGACATGAGCAAGATTACCAACACCAGAAGCACTCCAAGTGGCCAGCTATTGGTCAAAGGACATTTAATCAACTACCAAGCTTGCAAACTTTGTGTTTTGTTAGTTAGTTTGTTAAAAAACGCAATGCAACTGTTTGGTCTGCTCCTGACACGATAAATAAATACCAATCACATGAGTGGGAAGCATCTAAAATGTTACAACCTATAACAAAGATGAAAACGGTATGAAGAATGACAGTGTATTCAAAGGATCTATTAAAAACAAGGGCAGGAAAACAGATTCTTGCAAAAAATCAAAATCTTGAGCCATACTCTGTAAATATCACAGTAAGTGGAGTAACTCTATTACAGTTACAGAGTTAGAGTTTTTTTAAAAAAAAAAATCACTCCCCACCCCCATCCCAACGCACACACCCACACACACAATATGCCCATACACAGAGAAGTTAGAGACACACAACTTCAAAGGAAAAGCTAATATCTGAGAAGAGGTCTGAAAAATTAACAAGATGGTCAAACCTCTAGATAACCTAGTGTGAAAGAACTGAACTTGCACTGGATACCCTTATGAAAAACTAGCCAGCTATGTTTCAGCTACACATGAAATTATATTCACATGCTCTACAGTATCTTGAAAGGAAGACCACACCCTTCACAAGCCAGTTAGTTACATAACAGCAAGCCAGAGGAAAACAAGAGTCATCACAATATTTTACTAGAGCAAAGATTGAATGGGTTTTTTAGGAGAAGCACTGTAAAAGTAAACTGCTTAAGTTTTCCGTTGTTCATTTTGAATGTATTGTATTTCCTTACAACAAACCATTTATTTCCAACATCATGTATAGAATTAATGACACTTCAAATATATTTTCTGTGCCTATTAAAGGAAAGAAAAAACGTTTTTCAGTAACTAGACTTCAATACTGTTTCACCTGTCTTAGAGGAACAATTTAATGCAGGTATCAAAGTAACAAGAAGGCCCCAGTTATAGCCAGAGTTAACACATTTCAAGCAATGGGGCTACTCTAAATATGACTGCATTTCACATAAATCTCTGTAATGAGTCTGTATCGAATCATAGAGTTGGAAGAGACCTCGTGGGCCATCCAGCCAAGAAGCAGGAAAACTGCATTCAAAGCACCCCCAACAGATGGCCATCCAGCCTCGGTTTAAAAGCCTCCAAAGAAGGAGCCTCCACCACACTCCGGGGCAGAGAGTTCCTCTAATGTGGGAATTGGAAAGCAAAGTCTTATGCTCCAGTGAGCTTTGTCACCCAGCCATAAAAATTGGGTGACTAACAAAGCACGGGCTCTTCCAAAAATCAGCATAATTTGAGACCCATCTATTTTCACCACACTGAGTGAGCTTCAGAATAGTTCAGAGCTTTGTCTGCACCTAGGCTAGGAGCAATAGGAGTTCATCAGGCCACATGAAAACAAAGGTTCACACACAGCCATGGATTATTATGGCCTAGCAAACCAAGCCAAAATCTATAGCACCCAGCTATACCCCATTACTCTATGAAGATGACACTTGCCCAGCAGCAAACCTATGAGTATACTAGTTTACAATGAAGATTCTCGCCCCTGGCACGGTCTGTGACCTTCCTCTATTATAGTTTTGGAACTAATTATTACTTCAGCACCACATAGCACTACACAGAGCTCTCCTATTTCACATGCTGAAGTTTTATGCATTACCTGTTTATTCATTAACAGATACTCTGAGCACTCTGTCCATTCTGTAATGTTCTCACCATGTAAAAACAACCATGTAAAAACAAAACAAAAGCCAAAGTTGATTAATAAAACTATATCAAATCCACAGAGAATGATACCACACATCTCCACCACCTAGAATTAAAAAAAACACTTCGTTTTGTCATCTATGATTACTTTCAGAAAATAAAATTTTATCATCTATATTCCAAATATCACATTTTTAAACCATCATAATAATGTATATATGGTCTGATTCAATAATATTTGGGAAATCTGTAGAGCATTTTTGCTTGACAGAATTCTTGTGTTGACTTCAATTTATCTGATGCAATTACTTTAAAAGGACATAACACTGGCAGTATGTGATGTGTCCATGGGCAACAGAATATCAGACAATGAGAAATGCTGTCAGTGAGAGAACAGGCTGAGAAGGTAAGATGGTGCCATGAATGGCAAAATGCTGGGCTACATTAAATTAAAAGCAAAAAAAGAGTAGCAATCTGAATTTTAAAGAAAATGTTTAACCTTATTATAAGAAAATGAAATAAACTGTTTGTTTTTTAAGGTGGCCATAGGGATTACTGGATTAGAGCAGTGATGTCACAAGAACCTTTCTCTCCTTGTGAAATTTCCCTGATCAAAATCAAACAACCTTTAAGTTGCTGTTACTCCTGTTTGGTAAGACAAGTAAGTACAATATAGATATTTGCATTTTCTTCCAGATGTAGAGCCAAGAACAAGGCAGGTGGGAAAAGAAGAAACAGAAGGGAAGAAAGGAAGGATAAATAAGTCTCTCTCACACACACCAATTCAGCATCCTCTGAGAACTAGTTAGGCCCTAAAAAGGAGGAAAGGAGGGGGTGGAAAAAAGAAAGGTGGCAACGCTACTGGTTTTTATTTTAGCATGATCTTTTTGTGGGTATATAAACCCATTTCTTCAGATGCAGTACTGGGCAGACTGGACCTGTTTCCTTTGATCTGGACCTTTTTGTGTTCTAATATGGGAAGATCTGAAGAACCATAAAAAGGTGCAGGTTCACCCAATAAGAATACAGAATATAACTAGAAGATCAGGAAACAGATGAAGAAAAGGAGCTAGAAGGTATGAAAAGAAACAAAAGGAATGTGGGAAAACAGGAGATGTGTCAATCATGTTTAGGAACGCGTTAATCTTTTCAAAAAAACAAAGATGCAGAAACAAAAGTAGGCTACAAAATAAAGTGTACAATGAAATGAATTGTTATGAGGGCGTTTCTTTAAAGTATGGGCAAATTAAGATTTCTTGGAAAATATTTATTTTATAAATTCATTTCAACTATTTTGAATAAGCGGAGAATTTAGTATACAATGATGGCACCAGTTCTAATACTGTTTAAGAGTCAATGGACTTGGTTCTTACTCTCTCTGCTTCTCCTAACTTGTGTTTCCTTCATCTTCCAGTACAAATAATATAATTTCAGGCACTGTTATGCCACTTAATTATTGGAGAGGATTTTCATAGATATGAAGCTTTGAAATGTCTCTCTCCAACTGACTCATTCCAGTTGATGGACATAATTTAGTCACGTGAGATAGTTAAAACACAGAGGCCATTATAGTTTGATAGGCTTTCAACATTGATAGGTTAAAGGTAAAGGTTTCCCCGATATTAAGTCTAGTCGTGTCTGACTCTGGGGGTTGGTGCTCATCTCCATTTCTAAGCCAAAGAGCTGGCGCTGTCTGTTGATACCTCCAACATCATTTGGCCAGCATGATGAATGGAGCGCCATTACCTTCCTGCAGAAGCGGTACCTACTGATCTATTCACATTTACATGTTTTTGAACTACTAGGTTAGCAGAAGCTGGGCCTACAGCGGGAGCTCACTCTGCTCCCTGGATTCAAACCACCAACCTTTCAGTCAGCAAGTTCAGTAGCTCAGTGGTTTAACCTGTTGGACAACCAGTGATAATTGATAGGTTACCACTGTTCTGTTAAACATCGGAGGGGGTACAAATACTGATATCCATGCACAGCATTGTGTTCCTTTGGGTTATTCTAAACAGAAAACCTGGTGTTACTCTCCCCTGCATACCCAAACAATGGGGTTATCTTAATGATCACATGAATTTCCTTCACAGTTTCCTATATGGAAGTGACGATGAAATCCACAGTGTATTACATTATTTTCAAGATTGTGTGACTGTGATTTTTAAAAACATAGAACACTACTGAGCTGCAATTATTTTTTCTTGCAGTTTGTTTTTAGCTGGGAAAAATGCTATGTTCTCACTTATGTATGTATATATCTCAATGGCCTTCTTCAAGGGCTACCTAAATACACTTGAGTATGTAGAGTCATATCTCCCTTTTCCTGTTAATATATTAGGCGCTTTTCACTATCTTCCTTTATAACTGTTAAAGGTAAAGGTATAACTGTTACCATCAGATTATTTACATTAAGCCCTTTAGGCACTTAAACATTGCCCATTTAGAGGGCAGGGCAATCCCTATCAGCATTCCCTAAACCGGTATTATTCCTCACATGTCTTAGGCAACATCTTCTATTATCTCAAGGCATGACAGAACTAGAAGTACACAATTCCTGGAAAATGACATTGTGTTTGGGAAGGGCGTGGCACTATATATAAATTGGAGTGAGAAATGTACAGCGCCTCTGATGTTGAACTGCAATGTCCAATACTCACAATCCTACTGGTCAGGGCTGCAATGAGTTGTAGCTTGACAATATCTGAAAGTTGTGTAACTCCAAAATGGAATTAATCAGCAGTTGGAATTCTATCCTTTGAAGATAATTAGTTACTTTATCCCTTACGCCTATCAAGCAGCAAGTAACTACTAGTTAGCATTAATGCAGTCCAGAAAAATAATCTGTCAAATTATCAATTACTAGTAAGTTACCATTACTGATTTTACTGCGCCATTTAAAATACAGCAAATACTCTCTTGTTCCATCAGTGGTCAATTAAGAGATTGCAAAGTCTGGGGAAAATGTGAAACATTACAAAGCAATCCTTCTGAGCCACAGCATGAGGCAGCAACTGGCGTGGCCCTTTCTCCTCCCTAGAATGAGCCAACAGACACACCTAGCAACAGGCAGGAACCCATTCCCACGCCACTGAAAAGCAGGGGATTATAGCCATGACTGTTCCAGGCACAAAATGGCACTGTTCAAAATTGTTACTTGGCTGGAGGGACTGGAAACCAGAAAGCTTGTAGAAAAGGCCAGTTACAGGCAATTCCCAAGTTGCAGACATCCAGCTTACATACAATTCATAGTTAAGAACGGGGGTGAGACAACAGGAAGTGAGAGAAATATGCCCATTAAAAAGGGAAATTCATTCCTGGAAGAGTTATCATGGGGAAAAGGTGTCTCTACTGAAGCTTTATCACTAATCTTTGTTTCCACAACAAGCCCAATTTTTCAAAATCCAATTATCACAGAGACAGAAAGTGAGGTGAAATCTTCTCAACAGGGGCACAAACAGCAAAACAAGCACCACAGGGTTCCAATGCCATCCTAAACTTGTGTGCGTGTGTCAGGAGTTATACTTAAAAATGTACCTGTTCTGAATTACGTACAAATTCAACTTAAGAATAAACGTACATAATCTATCTTGTCATAATTCAGGGACTTCCTAGATCTGAAACTGATTGATACACTTCAAGCAGAGGGTGAGCTAATGGTCAGAAGACCAAAGTGAAATCCCATATACGTGCCAGTAGCCTTCCTTCCTTCAACATCATTTAAGAATCAGCATCTCATATCAAATGAAGAATTTGAAAAGCCTGTTAAATGCCACAGCTGTGGCATTTAATACTTTTGTGCAGCTCTTATATATCAAACTGCACAAGTAATAGGTGAACAATCATGTGTTTGAAGAAAAACTCAAAAGATATCAAAGAGATATTTAAATTTCAGACCAAATTAATTACCATTACTGCACATGTGTGTGTATAGCGTGTGCATGCCTTCAGGTCACTGTCAACTGATGGCCACCTCATGAATTAATTCTGTACCAAGGAAAGCTAGGCCATCTCCTTCCTCTGAAATGCAGCCTGCAACCCCTGGGATTCTTTGACAATCCCTATCTAAGTATGACACATATTGATTAGAGGATGACAAATCCATGTTCCCAGTTGGTCCATGCAGTTGCTGTATTCACACTTAACATGTTTAAACATGTGCCTGAAATGTATCAAGAAGCACTGGAGGAGGGATCAGTCTATTCCCACGAGTACCTTAGTGTCTTATTTACATGTGTTTACATTTTCACTTTTATGTACAGATATTTTTAATCTTCATGAACATTTTCATATCAAGATATATTCAAACTACTTTTATTTCTTACAGGGCTATCCCACATTTTCTCCAACGAGCTCAAGGCTGCATATGTGACAGTCCATAACAATTCTGGGAGGTATTCCAGGATTGCACAAGCTCGAGCTCAAGGTCACTTGTGAGCTTCCTAGGGCCCTCCTAAACAGGCCCCATATCCCAGGATCTGATCCCAGGTTTTCTGTTTATCCCTGATTATTTGGCAATGCGGATTCATATAATCCAGTTTAAAGCAGAAAATCTGGAATCAGATCCTGGGGTATAGGGTCTGTCTGGAAGGGCCTCTACAGGTAATTCTCAATTTTCTCTTAGAATTTTCTAGTATACTTCTAGTACATTTTGGAGATTGCAACTAGAGATTTACAAATGTGAAGTACAGCATCTGAAATGAAAGTATATGCTTAACTGATTTCATACTTGTGGAGCTTGTTTCTCAAAGGTTCCAAATCCATAAGAACTAATTTTACAGAAATCAAGAAAAACATGCTGAAGGTATGCATTCGTTATAAAATGCTGTTTCCCAAGCCTTGTACCAAAGTGATTTGATACATATTAATCATTTTGATCATATTCTACTCCTAGAGAACAATGTGCTGCTACCTATAACTCATTTTTCAATTTTGTTTGGATTTGGGTACCTTGTGGAAACAAAATTCCCAACTAAATATATAAAAGGTAAAGGTTTTCCCCTGACATTAAATTTAGTCGTGTCCAACTCTAGGGGTTGATGCTCATCTCCGTTTCTAAGCCAATGAGCCGACATTGTCCATAGATGCCTCCTAGGTCATTTGGCCAGCATGATTGCATGGAGTGCTGTTACCTTCCCACCAAAGCAGTACCTATTGATCTACTCACACTTGCATGTTTTTGACCTGATAGGCTGGCAGAAGCTGGGCCTAACAGCAGGAGTCCACTCCACTCCTCAGATTCAAACTGCCAACTTTTTGGTCAGTAAGTTCAGCAGCTCAGCAGTTTAACCTGCTGCGCCACCGAGGGTTCCACCTAAATATATAAGAGGTAAAGGTAAAGCTTTTCCCCTGACATTAAGTCCAGTCGTGTCAGACTTTGGACGGTGGTTCTCATCTCCATTTCTAAGCCGAAGAGCCGGCATTGTCCGTAGACACCTCCAAGGTCATGTGGCCAGCATGACTGCATGGAGAGCCGTTATAAATACATACACATATATAGTACTTTAAATTATATTGGGTGTAGTACCCCACACTGAAACCAAGGCGCTGTTGTTTAAGTCACTTAAAAATCTCCTCAGAGGGAACACTGTGCTCCTCCAACATGTCTCTCCTAATGAGTTTTCTTCATAACCTAAGTGTTAATTAACCTAGCATCCAATGTGAGTGGAGGGAGGGCCAATGCTGTTCCCGGGCCCTTCCTCCTCCACACAGCGGGCCCTTGGCGCTTCCTGCCCTGCCCTCGCGCCCCGCTTCAGCTCAAGCCCAGGGAGGGGCCCGGAGGACCTCTGCTCCGCTTGGAACCCTGTATGTAGACCGGGGAAGAAGGGAGCGGGAACGCGCAGGCGCAGAAGTGGCCCCTGGAGGGGGCGCGAGCAAGCGACGTCCTGGCCAAAAGGGGCGGGCCTGGGACCCTCCTCAGAGCCCCTCCTCCTTTGAGGAAACTTTGCTCGGCTTCAGGATAGTGGCGCGAGGCTGCTTTTGCGGGGGAATGAGGAGGAGAGGAAGGGCGCACGCGAGAGAGAGAGAGAGAGAGAGAGCGACTCAACAGCCCCAACTGCTTCCTCGTTTTTGGTTCCCAAGGCTTCCCCGCGGGGTACCTTGACGGCGCTCAGCCAATCAGCGGCCCAGGAGGAAGAGGAAAGGGGAGGGGGAGGGGGCTCCCTCCTGAGGCGCTCCCCCCCCCTTCTCACCTCAGACGCAGCTCCCTCCCTCCCTCACCTGAAACCTCGGGAGTCCCCTCCGGCCACCAGGACGCAGCAAAATGGAGGAGGAGGAGGAGGCGCCGCCCGATCGAATGAGGCGCGGCTGGAGGAGAAGCCCGCCCCGCCCCTTCCCTTCCCTTCCCCCGGGGTCCAGCCCGCCTCCGCCTCCCTCCCTCCCCTGTGCTTTAGGAGAACGGAAGCGGGGGAGAGCAAGGCCCCATCCCAGTCAGTTAGAAACTACTGCGGGTACCAAGGTTCTGGAAAGAGCAGCCCACAACCCCGGCCTTTCCAAGTGCTGTATTGCGGTAGTACCCTTGCAACACAGCTGTGAGAAAGGCGACCAAGGAAGGGAAGGCACGCAGCGCCCTGAACTGCCCTAGGAGAGACTAAGGGCCTGGAGGAGGGTGTCAATCCCAGTTTCACCCAGAGCCGCATCAGTTGGCCCTCTACACCCACCGATTCTCCTTCCATGGTGTCAACTGGCCAGTTGAAGGCGAATGACGCTCAGCCTTCTGTGTTCCCAGGAGGGAGTTTCTCATCTGCAATCAGCCACTGATTTTTCGCCTGCCGCTTTTGGACTCTTGCTTGCTGAGGTGTTCCTGCAAGTATCTTTTTAGATCTTAGGAAGCTGTTTCTTGATTTAAAGTGTTGGCATGCTGGGCTTGACGAATCCAAGGCTGGGTAATAGTATGATAGCTGGGTCCGGAAGCCCTGAGCGTTACAGTGATGCCGGATTACTCTTTTGAGAGCGCTGTTTGTGCAAGAGAGACAGCTAATGTAAGCCAGGCCAAAGACAGATTATTATTATTTTTGGTTGTGTCAGGAGCGACTTGAGAAACTGCAAGTCGCTTCTGGTGTGAGAGAATTGGCCGTCTGCAAGGACGTTGCCCAGGGGGCGCCCGGATGATTTGATGTTTTTATCATCCTTGTGCGAGGCTTCTCTCATGTCCCCGTATGAGGAGCTGGAGCTGATAGAGGGAGCTCATCCACCTCTCCCCAGATTCGAACCTGTGACCTGTCGGTCTTCAGTCCTGCCGGCACAGGGGTGTAACCTACTGCACCACTGGGGGAGCCCCCGGAGACAAATAATATAGATGGAATATAAGAGTTCTTTAATGGTGAAACACTTACCCTGAACCGTACCGTAACCCTAAGCCTAACCCTAAACCAGGCAGGCTCAAACCCAGAACCTCAATCAATGGCTGATACCAAATGAGAGACTCCCCACTGGGCACACAGAAAACTGGGCGACTTGGAAGGCGCTGAACAGACTGCACTCTGGCACCTCGAGATGCAGAGCCAACCTTCAGAAATGGGGCTACAAAGTGGAATCCACGACACGCGAGTGTGGAGAAGAGCAAACCACAGACCACCTGCTGCAATGCAACCTGAGCCCTGCTACATGCACAATGGAGGACCTCAGAGCTTCTGGACCCAGCTATCATACTATCACCCTAGGCTGGAGTTACAATCGATGGAAGAAACATTAACAACCTCAGATTTGCAGATGACACAACTTTGATGGCTGAAAGCGAGGAGCTAAGGAGCCTTCTAACCAAGGTGAAAGAAAAAAGTGAAAAAGCTGGGTTGCAATTAAACATTTTAAAAACCAAGATTATGGCAACCAGAATAATTGATAATCGGCAAAAAGGAGAAAACGTGGAGACAGTGACAGACTTTGTATTTCTAGGTGCAAAGATTACTGCAGACGCAGACTGAAGCCAGAAAATCAGAAGATGTTTACTTCTTGGGAGGAGAGCAATGACCAGTCTCGATAAAATAGTGAAGAGTAGAGACATCATACTGGCAACAAAAATCCGCATAGTTAAAGTAGTTGTATTCACCCATGGATGCAAGAGCTGGACCATAAGGAAGGCTGAGCGAGATAGATGCGTTTGAACTGTGGTGTTGGAGGAAAACTCTGGACCATGAGAAGATCGAACCATTCCATACTCTAGGAAATAAAGCCCAACTGTTTACTGGAGGGAAGATTATTAGAGGCAAAGATGAAGTACTTTGGCCACATAATGAGAAGACAGGAAATCTTGGAGAAGATAACGATGCTAGGGAAAATGGAAGGGAAAAGGAAGAGGGGCCAACCAAGTGCAAGATGGATGGATGGTATTCTTGAAGTGACTGGCTTGACTTTGAAGTTGCTGGGGGTAGCAACGGCTGACAGGGAGCTCTGGCGTGGGCTGGTCCAGGAGGTCATGAAAAATCAGAAGCAACTGAACGAATAAACAATAACAAAATGCTGGCTAATACTGTTTATCCCAGTATTGCCGATTCCTCCTAATGGCTCTCCGGTGTTTCAGGCAGAATTCTTTCCTAGCCCTACCTGGGCCTCTTTGGTTTTTACTAGTGATCCTCTAACCAAATACTAACCAGGGCCAACACTCTTTAGCTTTCAGACTCAGACAAGATGATATTCTGCAATGAGCAGCTGATGTTTTATGAAATCTGTGTTCAAATGATGGTTGTAGCTTAACAGTGATAACACAATTGAGAGGATATGGATGGGTGCTGTCGAGAGGTTGCTTTGAGGTTATTAAAAAAAACTTCACGTACTGTTCAGCTCACAGAATGACTCATTGCCTCCCATTTATGGTAATTCTGAATGTTCAACATTAAGGAAAATATAGAATATCCTACATCTGTCTAATGCACTCATTCTAAAGGAAGCCAAACCTGCAGATCTGCTCCATTCCTGAACCATAGACCGGCTCATTATTAAACTACCAGATCAAAGTACAAAAGCAAGAAATGCATTACTAAGCACATGTGCTGAAAGAAAAACACACATCTAATTTAGCTTGGAGATCTGTTAAATCCTATGTAAAGATAGTATCATTGCTGCAACATGAGTGCATTTTGGAATAGTGAAGAAAGCATAGAAGATAACAAACAAAACACCGATTTGGCTGCTTTCTTTCTCCCTTCCTTTCTCCCACTACCTTCCAAAATGCTAGAGATAAGTTATCTATTTCACATTATTGTTAAAATACTGAGCTTCTTTGGTGGTGCTAAAGCACAAATCCAAATTCACAGCCAGGTCCTTCCAAAACTGGTAAAATGCTACTCAGGTGCTAGATTGCAGTGGGCTGAGAACAGGAAGAGGTCTTGGTTTGAAGCCTATTAACCGCTGGTTGACCAGACAACGCGGTCAAGGGAAGGTTTTAATATTAACATTTCATATTAAATATTAAGTGGGGAACAGACAGTGGGCGGCAATTGCAGCTCTCTGGTTCATTACAATATTACTTGTGATAAGCTTCACAAGCAAGATATCCCTTTACATCCTCCCATTGTTTTCTTCAGAGAACAAACAGGCGGGTAACAGATATAGTGACTTTGCAACAGTCACAACAAAGACCCCTGACAGTGGTGTCACCTGAGGATATGCAAGGCTCAATAGCCCTCTTCAGATATTCAAAACTGGGTATGGATCCCAATCACTAGGAATGTGATTATATTTCTATATTTATTTATTTATTTATTTACTCCATTTGTATACCGCATTTATCAGCCTGAGACGGCGACTCAATGCGGTTTACAATAAAAATGGGCAACACTGACAGTAAATAAGACGCACATACACAAACAACACACATAGTCATCAACGCCTCAATTAGAATCAGATCCCGTTCTCACAGTCCTTTTCCATTCCTTGTTCAAATGCCGTCTTACTGATTTAGTTGCAATTGCACAGCTATCCGAACGCCTGCTCAAAGAGCCACGTCTTAACCCTCCTCCGAAACACCAGCAACGAAGGGGCCTGCCTGATGTCCGCTGGTAGGGCATTCCATAGCCGAGGGGCCACCACTGAGAAGGCCCTGTCTCTCGTCCCCGCCAACCGTGCCTGTGACGCAGGCGGGACCGAGAGCAGGGCCTCCCCGGACGATCTTAAGGTCCTCGACGGTTCATAGGTGGAGATGCGTTCGGAGAGGTAAGTGGGGCCGGAACCGTGTAGGGCTTTATAGGCTAAAGCCAGCACCTTGAATTGTGCCCGGTAGCAAATTGGCAGCCAGTGGAGCTGGCTCAGCAGGGGGGTGGTGTGCTCCCTGAGTGCCGCTCCCGTTAGCAACCTGGCTGCCGAGCGCTGGACCATCTGAAGCTTCCGGGCAGTCTTCAAGGGCAACCCCACGTAGAGCGCGTTGCAGTAATCTATGCGGGATGTGACAAGAGCGTGGACTACCGTGGCCAAGTCCGACTTCCCAAGATACGGGCGCAGCTGGCGCACGAGCCGAAGCTGTGCAAATGCTCCTCTGGAAGCCGCTGAAACTTGGGGTTCCAAGCTTAGCGAAGAATCCAGAGTCACACCCAAGCTGCGAACCTGCGTCTTCAGGGGGAGTGCGACCCCGTCCAACACAGGCTGTAACCCTATACCCTGTTCGGCCTTCCGACTGACCAGGAGTACCTCTGTCTTGTCTGGATTGAGTTTCAATTTGTTCACCCTCATCCAGTCCGACACAGCGGCCAAGCACCGATTCAGGACCTGGACAGCCTCCTTAGTAGTAGGTGGAAAGGAGTGACAGAGTTGGACGTCATCTGCGTACAGATAACACCGCACCCCGAAACTCCGGATGATCTCTCCCAACGGCTTCATGTAGATGTTAAATAACATGGGGGACAATATTGAACCCTGCGGGACCCCACAAGTCAATGGTTGTGAGGACGAGCAGTTGTCCCCCAGCAACACCATCTGGGTGCGATCCTCTAGGAAGGACCTGAGCCACTGTAAAACAGTGCCCCCCAGGCCCATTCCCACGAGGCGCCCCAGAAGGATACCGTGGTCGACGGTATCGAAGGCCGCTGAGAGGTCCAGCAGAACCAACAGGGACACACTCCCCCTGTCAAGCTCACGCCGGAGATCATCCACTAAGGCGACCAAGGCTGTCTCGGTACCATGCCCCGGCCTAAAGCCAGACTGCCGGATCCAGATAATCCGTGTCTACCAAGAATGCCTGGAGTTGTGAGGCCACCACACGTTCCATGACTTTGCCCAAAAAGGGGAGATTGGAAACAGGCCGATAGTTGACGAATTGAGTGGGGTCCAGTGATGGTTTCTTCAACAGCGGTTTTATTACAGCTTGTTTTAAGCTGGCTGGAATTTTGCCTTCCCGAAGGGAGACATTAACCACCACCTTCACCCACTCGGCCAATCCCCCTCTGGCCTCCTTTAGAAGCCAGGATGGGCAGGGGTCTAGGATGCATGTGGTTGCTCTCATCCCTCCAAGCACCTTGTCCACATCCTCAGGTTTCACCAATTGAAACGAATCCATCAAAATCGGACAGACAGGTGTTCTCGTCACATCCTCAGAGACCGCCGTTAACATGGTATCCAGGCCCGAACGGATCAAAGCGACTTTGTCCGCAAAAAACCGTGCAAACGCTTCACAGCGGGCTGTCGAGTTGTCAGGGCTCCCATCCAGAATGGTGGGCTTTAATAGGCCTCTGACAACTCGAAACAGCTCAGCCGGACGGTTCCTTGCGGACGCAATATTGGCCGCAAAGAAGGATTTCTTTGCCGCCTTTATTGCCACGGCATATGCCCTTAATAGGGCAACAAACCGTGCTCGGTTTGACTCGCTCGGATCCGAACGCCACACACGCTCTAGTCTCCTCTTTTTTCGCTTCATTGCTGCCAGTTCCTCGTTGAACCAAGGAGCTGGTTTAGCTCGGCTACTTGAGAGGGGAGTTAGTTTTTCTTCAGACCTCCCTGGATGCAATGGGGAGGTCATGGATGTAGCTGGGTTAATGCACACTTCGCAAACATACATTTTCAAATGCACCTTGGACTGCAGAGCACCGTTTGGAGTAGAACAATTTTTAAAAAACAGTGAATCTGTGGCGACTGTACAACACTTCAGTGTTGTGCAACATGAAGTGATATCCAATCACAAAACTACTGCAATGGGTTCATGAGCTCCGGACCACATGAAACGTGATGACAAAGAAGCCACCCAGTTGTCCCTGAAGCATACAGACACCCGAAAATTTGGAAGCAATGAGTGGGGGCAGTTTTTCCTAGTTCACAATGTTCTGTCTGGTGCCATGCAGCAGCTTTGCAGATGTCTAGTTGGTCCCTAAGGTGCATACTTCACACAGAATTGCACTTCCATGCATAGAAGAATATGATTGTGCTGCAGTTGAATGCTGGGGATTTCTCACAATGCAAAGCGTTGTCAGGCAATGATCACTATTTTGGCCAAAGATGACAATGCCATAGTGATGAGTAGTGATGCAAAAATGTGGTTTCATCAAGATGGTGCAACAGCACATGCTGAGATTATTGATGGCCCTGGTGAAACACATGTGATCTGATTTTTCATAGTCAAGCATAGACACAAATTCTAAACTTTCAAGATAGCTTACTTCAGTAAATTTAGGGGGAAATGAGTGTGATCCCATGGTCAGGAATACTAAAGGAGATGGATGGGAATTTCTGAAAAGTAAGCTATTGGAGGCAGACTCACACCTAGCTGTCTAAATGTGACTGTTAGTACCTACAGTTCTCTACATGCATCACGGTACCAATTCTATCCCAGCAACACTTAATGAGATTATTTAGATAACATATTCCATTTGCAGTATTTTGACCTACCAGTTACTTCATTGTGCAATCTGTGCACATCACAATTTGTTTTTAATAATCTAACAACCTGTTATCACGAACATCTCCTGCCTTGCCCAGAGAGAAAAAATTCCACAAGGAATGTCTCAGTGACAATTTCCCTTTTCTTCCAAGTGATACCTTCTTCACAGATACTTCCTTCTTTCAACAGCAGACCAGGCATTAAAAGCATTGCTATCATAGCTCACTCATCAGCCCTTCTGGATTTGCATATTGATCCTGTGCAATACATTGGATAGCACCCACAGCTGTGCTGGCTTTCTAGTTTCATAGCTTAAGCAATATGCCAAGTTGTTGATAAAATCATAAAGTTGGAAGAGACCAGAGCCATCCAAGTCAATCCCCTGGCAAGCAGAAAAATGTAATCAAAGTAACTCCCAACAGATAGTCATCCAGCCTCTGCTTAAAAACCTCCAGAGGAGACTCCACCACACTGAGGTGTTGAATTTCACTGTTCAACAGCTTTTACAGTAAGTTCTTCCTAATGTTCAGTTGTAATCTCTTTTCCTGCAGTTTGAATCCATTGCTCCATGTTTGAGTCTCCTGAGCAGCAGAAAGCTAGCTTCTCCCCTCCTCAATGTGAGAAACTTTCAAATAATAAAACATGACTATCATGTCTTCTCTGTCTTCTCTTCTGCAGGCTAAACATGCCCAGTGCTTTAAGCCACTTCTCCTAGGGCTTGGCCTGCTAACCTTTTGACTATTTTGATCACCCTCCTCTGGACACCCTCCAGCTTGTCAATATCCCTCTTGAATTGTGGTGCCCAGAATTGGACACACGATTCCAGGTGAGGTCTGACCAAAGCAGAATTAAGTGGAACTATTATTTCCCTAGAACTATACACTATAATCTGTATGCCTGCCTACCCAAATGACTTGACCCTTATTATGTAGGAAAAACCACCAGTACTGCACAATTCTACACCATTCTGACCATTTCCCACTCATCTTTGGAAGCCCATCTTTGTTCTTCCTTTCTCCTTGAGCTGGTTCTGTTGGGAGTAAGTTCCAATTAAAAAATAGCAATACCTTTACTTTACTTACTTGAATTATTACGACTTTAACAACAAGAAGAAATTTCCATGTTAGTTATATGTGTGTGAGGTTGAATAGATTGAGAGCTTTTAGTTTATTTATAATGATAATTTTAATTATTGTCAGCCCATTTAATTTTGAGGTTTTATTTTTCTTGTGAGGAGGAGGGAATAGATAGGGCAAGGATGGAAGTTAGGCTAATAGTCATTTCAGAATTATAGTCCAACTACATAACTTGATGCCATGGGCACAAATTCCAATTTTCTCCATGTTCTGTCAGTAGATCTATCACAGGTTTAGAATTTTTTCATTGAGTGCAATCTGTGACTGGGTGAGGTTTGCCAAGTAAGTCACCATCAGCAGATCCTGTAAGGAAAGAGAGGTAAGCATGTATTATACATCTGTATTCCATAAGCAAAGATTAATTAGAACTATAACATCTCTTATAATTCTGTCCACTGAATTGTGCCAGAGAGTGCAGTTTCCAACTACAGATTGGCAAAACTTCCAGACTGTACTAGACAGTTACATTCTCTGGAACTTTATCCTTAAACCTGCTGGATTCAATCCAGCAAGAGAAGTAATCAAGTTGGCTATTCTGAAATCCAGCATCATGCATTGAAAACCCAGTAGTTCCTATGTGTCTAATTTACAGACAGGAAAACTGAACCCCAAGTCAGAGAAGGTGACAACTAGTACCTGGAATTTCTTCTAGGTCTGTGGAAGGATTTATTACTTTTCTTAAATATGATTAAACTATTAACAACAATATGGCATATTGGCATATAACTATTTTTAAAACAGAACAAACCAAAAAGTCAGCAGTCATTGTATATTATTTTCTGCAAAAGAAAGGGTTGTAGAGTTTATATGTAGCCTTTGGTTCATAGGTTCACAGCATGAGAAAATAACAATACATTTACTATTAAACTAAAGCACCTCTCCACAGGTCCAAATGTGACCATGTAGAGGTGGAAAGTCCTTGCTGTCCTTGATGAAATTAATAAAAGGGAGCCACGCTGAAAAGAAGCTTAGTCTGACTGGTCATTCATATTGGCTTGTACAATAAACCTCAGCTTTCCCACAAAGTGCTATTACATGTTTATTTTTTTTAATTCCAGGCTTCAGTTTGGGAACTGCTCCACTTTTGTCAATTTCTGAGCTATTATCAATCTTTTAGCAAACAAAGCAATAGGTTGATGGATTTGTATATATGGTATTTAATTTTCACTGCAGTTAGATACCAAAAACACATTCTTTTTAAAGCATGTACTCTGATATGGGAAGATAGAGGTTTTATTGTAAGACCTTTCCATAATCTTTTCTATTTAACATTTGTAGTACATCAGTATCCTATGCTTTTTGAAAACCCTCAGGGTCTCGGTATGTTGAAGATAAAGAGAACACCTGATCATACAGCATCCTTTTTGGAGAAACTTCAGACAGGATTCCAGCTGCCATTGACAAAACTGGAAGGAACGTGTGCATGTTTTGGAGAGTGATAAAAGAGAGGTGGAATGTGATCACAAGTGGTCCTGTCACTACAGCCACAGCTCTGTCCTCATATGACCATGTCCAGCAATCATGTTTGGTCCCATGACTTACATTGATATTGCTGTTCAACATTGTCTCAAAGTCTTCCGGAGAAATTGTTGGAACTTGGTTAATGAGGTCCATCAGAAAACGACCAACGGTGTTGTCTGCAGCCACTTTACCAGACTAGACAAAAGAGAGATAGAGAGGCTACTTAACATGTAGAAGGAAAAAAAACAATCAATTGATCAATCAACTTGCACAGTTCATTTATTTCCAGGGAAAACTACAATACCAGTATATCTTACCAATACATCTTCTGCATATTGCAGCACTGTATTCAGAGTATCTTGGATCCGCACTGAAGCTGTGGCCACTTGCTGAAGGTCACTGGACAAACTAATCACTCGATTTGGGCTAAAGCAAGTTTTCATAATGAGATCCACTGAAATCATAAAATAAGACGGTTAGAAAAGAGACGCAAGATTATTCAACAAAAAGGTTATAAACAGTTGTGTTTCATAATCTTGAAAGCTTGTTAAGAAACTGCTCTAAAAGGTGAAACATTGTTTAAAAGGATAAATTAAGCAAATACTCTAATGAAAATAAAACTTCATTTATGAACAACTTTTTTGGGGGGAAAGTCTCTCTTCTGTGAGATTTCAACAATTACTACATAACAGTTCTGACTTTTGTCTTGACCTTTTCCTCCGTTATTGTATGATAGGATTCATTTCGAGAACCAAGAGCATTATTGGTAAGTGACAAAGTTAGCAAAGTACAATACTGGTAGCTGGTAAACTAAAAAAAACTATAAAGAAATATTCAGAACAGTTGAATTGGAATACACTGTATCCACAAATGTTGCTCTATTGACAGTGGGTTAAATTGAGATAATGGTTTTCCTGGTAAGTAACACCTTTCCTCCCCTAGTGACTACTGTTAAAACCACACCTGTCACCTCCAGCAGCACAACCACAAGTTTTTGCATTTCTATGGCTATTTATGCTCATTGTCTACAAAGATATGTATATAGGCACTTCACTCCATGCACCCAAGGAAACAGACTTATGCACCATTGTCTTTCTAACTCTTTTGTATTATTCATAAGAATGGTTTTTTTTTAAATGAAGAGTGCTTCAAATCAAAATTGCTAAGGCAGTATTCATCTTCCAATTTAGGAAAACCATTAAGTACTCAACCAGCTACTGAACATTGAAGTAGAGGTTTTAAAATATCTATAAAGTATTTCTGGGAGTGTGAGGATACACACTGTTATTTGTGTTTAACCCTTCCTTGCTGGTCCTCCTTCCTTTTCCCACTCAAAAGAGTTTCCAAGAAACTCAGATAGAGAAAGAAAATTCTGAGAGCAGCACACCCTTCCACCAAATGCTTTCAATGTATGATCCACAAGGACTTCCTTGTGATTTTTCAGAAGCAACTCAAGTTCTCAGATCTGGATCTGTCACTGACCATTTAAAAAAACATAACATGTAAAGAATATGAAGTGGAGAGAGAGTATCATTGTCTCTCTCACCACTGCTGCCAGGAAAAGCTGGAAGACCTGGCTATATCTACACTCAGAATTGATGCAGTTAATGGCAGTTTCACTGTAACTGCCATGGCTGAATACGATGGAATCCTGGGAATTGTAGTTTGGAGAGGCACCAGCACTCTGACAAAGAAGACTAAAAACCTTGCAAGTCCAACTCCCAAAATTCCATAGTATTAAGCCAGGGCAGTTAAAGCACTGTCAAATTGCATTAATGTCGCAATGTAGATGTGTTCATAGAGAGCATAATTATGCATAAAACAACAACATTTTAATTGCTTTGAAACAGACAATAAAGTGCTATTCAATATTTTCAGGAAATCTGGAATCTTATCTACTGGTAGAGCTCTGTTTGCTATTTCCCATAAGCTAACTCAAAACATGAGTTTATCATGATGGATACTTATTGATGCGATAATAGCTAGGGACATTTTTTTTTACGCAGTCATATTATATATTTATGTATACTCCATGCTTCAAACTGTTCCTTATTAAAAACACATACTATGATAAATAGAAAACATGGGAGACAGTTTTAAAATGTCACCAAACCCCTGCATGCCAACTAGAACATAAGGATCAATAGGTTTTTACGTCTTACAAAATAATACGTCAGTATTTCAAAAAATCACTATGCGCTTTGCATTTTGTAAGCTCCAGCCTCTTTAGGATGCTTTGAATAACTCTGCCAGATCAACAAAACCATTGTTTCAACCCTGCATTTCTCCATAACACTAGACAAGCTAACAGTGCCAATGTGTCAACTGAGAAAACAAACAGTATGAGAATGAATGGTTTTACAGGAAAAAAGTACAGGGGTAAAGCACAGTCACGCTTCTCCTATAAGGGTTAACCCTGTCTCCTAACCTTGGCAGCCTTAACATCAGGTGTGGTGAGTTAGCTTTAGTTCCTTTCTCCGCTAAAGCATTTTTACTTCATCCCAAAGAAAAGACAGGCACTGAGAGTCAACACAGACCTTGCCTCCCTGTCAATGCCTTTCATTGCATTCTGTATTTGTATATCCGAATTTTGCAGTAACTTGGGGAAACAGTTTCAGACATCAGCCAGGTATGAAACGAGAAATGAAGTGCTTACCACCTATTCGCTCTGTGTCGTAGTAGGCATACTTCACTGTGAGGGGAGTGAACATTACTCCCATAGTTTTACCAGGGACTCCCATTGCAGTACTAGAGACAAGCAGATTTTTTCAAAGGTCAACACGTCCAACTGAACATCATTTTTAGCAGTGTACTAACTGAGCAGTATTCCTAACAGAAAGCACAGAAACATCTACCTTGGATCTAATTGCATGCTTATCATGGAAAAAGAAGACACAGACAAGCAAAATACACACAGATTGGGCAGACCCAGGTTCAAAGAAAAAATATACTGCCTTTCAAGTTATTGTAGAATTGAAAGAAAAATCTTTTAAAGCTATACAAGAAGCCTGCAGGCAGCCCTCCACATTTGTGGGTTTAATTTTTGTGGATTTGATTATTTGCAGATTTGATTAATATGCTCTCCCCAGGCACCTCTAGGTCCACCAAGCTGACTATGGTCAAAATCTACTGGAAGTTGACCATAGTAATACACTGGAGAATGTAGAGATTCCAAGACAAATGTTCTTTCAAGAGTTAAAAAATAGGGGGGGGGGGGGGGTTGACACAGAAGATGAAATTTCTATTCAAGAACAAAGTCTAACAATCATTTTGGTAAAGTAATTATGTTTTCTTGTTAAGTAGTGTAAAAAAAGGTCTTCCTATACAAAATTACAATACAGAAAATATATAAAATTACAATACAAGAGGGCCTTTTTGTTAATAACCATCATCCAGAACAGAATTCTTATAACAAAACACATAGAAATTAAAATTAAATTAAAAAATTAAATTAAAAAAATTAAAACTAAAAATAGGTTTTAAAAGATGTTTTTCTACTTTTGCAGGGATCTGCACCCCTAATCCCTGTGAAAGTGGAGAACCTACCGTATTTCCAATATTTTTCAGTTGTATGACTATCAACTTAAAAAGGTGGCAGTGGTATAGGCAATATAAGAAAGGAGAATTGAATGAATTGTAGTGTGTTCATTTCTAGTCCATTTGAACACACAGCAGGTGGAAGAAAGTGAAGATCATACTTCCATTAAAAATGCTTTCATTTACACAACTGGAATTGTTAAAAAGAGGACAACATGTACTTTCTCTTCTTTCCATCCATGCTCATTTAATGTTTTTTAGCATTCTTAATTAGTATGTCATTTATGGACAAGAGTCTTATTTGTTTTATTAAGCAACAATCTATTTTGATGGGTCATTTTCATAATTTCTTATTGACATTTATGATTTTAGTCTGTAAACTGACTTTAGGGATTTAATTCTTACAGAGTGGTAGATATAAATATAATAAATAAATAAATAAATAAATACAACAACTTTATTTATATCCCGCCCCATCTCCCAATATGGGACTCAGAGCAGCTAACAATATAAAAGCCAAATATTCAATGCTAACAAATTCATTACAGTGAATCTAGATCACAAATGGTATTCTGCAATCTTAACAAAACAGATAAAACAAGCAAAAAATTTAAAATTGTTTTTGCAAATACCTGACATATGCCTTAATACTCATACGCCCATTTTGTAGACTAGTATCCACAGTGAGATGAATTGGATTGTGTGCTTCCCGACTGTAATATTCATGAATCAGGACAGAGTGTTCTGTGATGTCATGTCCTGTTGCATACCTTCAAAGAAAAAGATGAAGAGTTTGGATTATTAAGATACAAACAAATACAATTACATTCATTCAACACAGACATTTTAAAACTGGCTCAGTGAGACATAATAAATAATGCTCCAGCATTCAAAAGTGAGCAGCATCCATAAAGCATCTCTCTGCGATACTTTGAAGTGCTTTAAATAAGTATAACCAGTTTTATCACACTAAATAACAGAAACCAACCAATACAAATATTCAATGACTAAGGTGTCAATAACATCTAAATACTACATTTTCTCTAAGAAGCTTAAAACAATGTACACTGCTCCAGCCCTACACATTCTATACTCACAAAAGCCCTGTGAGATTGACTAAGCTGAGACATAATAACAGACCTTAGATCACCAGTGGAGCTGGGTGCTTATTTCAAAATGCATGGTGAGGTAGCTGCCCAAGATTGCTACTGAACAGATTTTTAACGACTATTCTAAATGTAAATTGCTTTTATAATTATCTTGTTTGGGCATCTAACGGTTGCCGATTGTGAAACTGCCCTGAGGGGCCCCCGCGGGGAGGGGGGGGGGAGAACAAGATACAAAATAAATAAAATATATTGTAAACCTTATATACAGCAGTAGAATAAGATCTTTTCCAATTGGCTAGGCAGACAGCAACAATGACTTACCATCCCAAAATAATTTCACTTGGAGACACTTTCTTATGCAGCTCATACATATTCTTGGCAAATTCCATGTCAACTGCCACCTGGAAAACAGCAAAACCAATTTGAAAATGCATAGTAGTGAAAGTTGAACTCATCAGACTAATAAAATGTCATCAACTTTCCTATGCCATAACCAACCCTTCTATTAGCAAGTAGTTGTTGTTTATTTTCTTGTAGTTAATGAATAGTTGTAATTTTATTGTTTTCAGCAAGGGGAAGCGCACACTCAAATTAATAGGGCATAATAAACAGCACAAAGAAATGATAAAAAACATAGCAACCTGATAAACATGGAGAACAAATATTTCCATACACGTTTCTCTTGGGATAGCATTTCAGTAATCGACAATGTCAAAATATTCAGTATATTTATGATGTTCCTTCTCACTTCTCAACATCTGCATTAAAGTGCATGTTCATGAATAAATAGATCCCAGCAATGCAACACAACATTACTGTGTGTGACCATATGGCAGAATATCCCTTGCTATTAGATTGCAACATTTTAAATTAAAAATTCTGTAAAAATATAAAAAATTCAGATTCCTAAATCCAACATACCACAATTTGGCTAATATCACACCACTGCATTATTTCATTAGGCTTAGAACTCAGGAAGCTAGAACAACAATGTAATGCCAAATGAAGACCACACTAGTACTCACTTCATCTTCTGACTCATTGTGAGGGACGGAGAAACAGTTGGTGACATCCACTGAATGTTTGTCAATTGTGCCTGTAAAATTAAAGAAAACATGCTTGATAAAGACCTTCTCTATCATGAAAGTTATTAGTCTGTAATATTGCTCGAAGAGTAGATATGGAGGCAAGGTTGGCATCTGGATTTGTAGTGGGACCTTGTACTGTAACTGTCCATATTACAAATTGTAAGTGAGCAGTTGTTTAAGATTTGGAGAACCAACTGTAGGCCTACCTCCCAGAACTTGTAAAGCAGCTTTCTTCTCCAGAATTTGCAATATCTCATTGAGGATGCATTCAAGATGTTTAAGCTGGGGACTATAGGTAATAACGAGGAAAGTTATGTCATCCTGCAGTTTTGTTTAGTATTATATTATTCTTGCCATCTTGTTTTGTTTCTTCACCTTCTTGGGTGTGTTCAGTAGTTTGAGAAATATATCTGCTGTAAATCCAAGAGTTTTGAGTCTTTGTCTTGTGCTTCTGAGCAGATAAGATACTAGTTGAGCCAATGAAGTTCGGTTTTTACCAACAACACGCTACCAAAACCTTTGAAGGCTTTGGCTATAAACAACAGAAACCTCACCCTTATATAGAAGTGAAGTACTGTCACATATCTTTTCCCCCTAGGACTCCTTTCCTCCTTTTCATGTTGAAAGAGACTAACATAGCTGCTTTTTTGGATGCAAAAAGAGGTCCTTTCTATCTGCAATAAATAATTCATGAAAATCGTTCAGGGCCTATTATTTCTTCCCTTCAACAATATGCTACAGACTGCACATTTTTCCCAATGCAATTTACTCAAAGTTCACCTTGTCCTTTTCCACTTCTGAACATCCTCATAACAAAAGCACATGAGCAGTAAAACAAACAGCTAGATCTTGGGAATCTGCTTTCAATACTGATTATGACCTGGGCAGGTCAGGGATCAACTTCCAGTTTGGCTTCGAACGCCACCAAGAGCCATCATTTGTATGAACCCCAGAAAACAGAGCAAATGTATGCAAAGCACTTTGGGAGGTAGGGCTGAATGGAACTGAGAGGCAAGAGTTCGACTTTCCTGCTTAACCCTAACAGTTTATAGCAGAGCTTTCCAAACATTGCATGTTGGTGACACACTTTTTAAACACATATCATTTCATGGGACAGTCATTCAGTTTTATTAGCAAACCAGAGGTTAAACCGGCCCCTTATAAGAGATGCGGACACATACATAAATTGCAATAATGACAGAGACAGGAACTTAATGAAAACCTTTCACTTACATCTCAAATATATATGATTTATAACATATAGCTTCAAGATTTTTGTTGCTTCTCATTATGTTCATGCAACACACCTACACACTGCAGCTGAGACATGGAAGCGATGCCCGGGTTAGGGTTTTATAAGGACAAACATTGGAAGTAGTCAAGGTTTGGTTTTGGATTGTATGAATGGTCCCATTTGAAAAAGTATTCGGATATGGGTAAACAACAACTCCCAACATTCAGGGTCAAACCCCATCAATATATCAAGTTGTTCATGTTGGGTCTGTGTGCCAAGTTTGGTCCACATCCATCATCAGTGGGAGTCACAGGGCTCTCTGGATGTGTTTCCATATACATGGTCACATATTGTATATAGTCTAATGCCTTTTTGGCTAAATGGGGTGCACATTAGATTTGCCTCATACAGTAATCTTAGTGCTGAGCCAAAGTAAATGAGAAGGTGCTTCAGGAGATGCACCTGGAGCTCCTCTTTGAGGGACGTCATCTATCATTTCATGGTCTTGGCTCAATGCTATGTAATCCTGGGATTTGAAGTTTGGTAAGGAATCAGCATTCTTTGACAGAGAAACTTGTTAAAAACTACAGGCCCCACAATTCCATAGCATTGAACTAAGGTAATTAAACTGGATCCATTCTACAGCATAGACACTCCTCAAGGTTTTCCTTTCCACTGCTAGACGCTTCGGTGTTCTAACACAATTGTTTATAATTAAGGAATTCTAATAAGGAAGCAACAGTAATGCACACCTTTGTTATCCAAATGGCAAAGAGCACACTTTTTTGTGGCTGTGCATTACATGAGGGAACAAATATTTATTTTTTTTAGTTTCAGGATTTTGAAAACGGAGGTGCACATTAAATTTGATTAGCATTACATTTGAGGAAATATGGGTACAAACAGTTTCACTTTTATTATGTATACAAATAAAAATATATAGATACAAGGAGAGTTCTGCAGGTTTGTTCTTAAGTTGAATTTGTTTGTAGGCCGGAACAGGTACATTTTAAAAATGTAACTCCACTTCTTTGTTTGCATGTGGGTGGCAATGTATTTTTCTGGCCGGAGCTCTGACTTCCACAGACCACTGCAACCCCCACAAATGACAGACCTGGACAAAATTTGGCACACAGAACTCCTGCAACCCACTTTATGTCCTGGTGTAGTTTAGAGGAGGATGGACCATGGATGATGGGATTTGCAGTACCTTTACCCACTTCAGCTGCCATTTCTGCAGATAAATGCAACCCCCATGAATGAGGGACCTGGCGCAAACTTGGCAGACCCCCTGTGACCCATTTTATGTGCTGATGATGTTTGGGGGAGAATGGACCATGGGTGATGGGAGTTGCAATACTATCATCCACTTCCACAAACCACTGTGACCCCAATAAATAATGGACCTGGACCAAACGTTGAAGAGACCCCAGTCCATGACCAACTGAAGATACTGGAGGGGACTGGGGGAAACTGACCTTGATTTCAGAGAGTTGTCATTCACCCACATCCAGAGGAACTGTGACCCCCATACTGAAGGGGTTGGGGCTTATTAACCTTGAATTCTGGGAGCTGTAATTCACCCGCACGCAAGAGCACTGAACCCAGCCAACGATAGATCTGGACTAAACTTGGTGCACATACCTAACACAGGCAACTTTGAATACTGGCAGAGTTTGGGAAGGACTGACCCACAATTTTGGGAGTTGTAGTTCACCCACATTCTTATGCATTTTTTAATGGGAGCATGAATAAAAAACACACTTTCACTAATAAATAGTGTTACAAATTACCTCAATGATATTACCTAACATTCAAAAACAAACAAATGTTTTGTTTTTATTTCAAATATCCTGGGCATCGCCAGGAACCCATATATGAGTTTGGATAGCACAGGGAAGTGAACACCCCTGTGGTTGTTTGTTTTGTTGTCTGTGCCCCTATTAAGATTTAACCTCACTTTTAACCTCAATAAGTATTTTACTGTTTATTTTGCATTTTTAGTGTTGTGTGATTTTTATGATGGCATTGAATGTATGCCTTTTACATGTATGTAAACTGCCCTGAGTCCCCATGGGGAGAGTGGGTGGTCTAGAAATAGAGAATTATTGTTATTACTTTCCCTGTAATAATTGGATTTTGAAAGATTTGGCTTGTTGTGAAAACAAGGATTCATGATAAAGCTTCCGTGGCGTGAGAGAGAGTGAATGTCCCCATGAGGATCGGGCTGTGACGCAGCTAGTTAGTAGCCAGCTGCATTAAATCACTACTGAGATAGAATCAAAGAGTTGGAAGAGACCTCATGGGCCATCCAGTCCAACCCCCTGCCAAGAGCAGGAAAATTGCATTCAAATCACCACCAACAGATGGCCATCTAGCCTCTGTTTAAAAGCTTCCAAAGAAGGAGCCTCCACCACACTCTGGGGCAGAGAGTTCCACTGCTGAATGGCTCTCACAGTCAGGAAGTTCTTCCTCATGTTCAGATGGAATCTCCTTTCTTGTAGTTTGAAGCCAGCCCGGGTAAGGTACTGACCGTTAGCATGCTGTTGGCCTATGCAGCTCAAAAGACAGTTGCATCTGTCAAGTAGGAAATTTAGGTACCGCTTAATGTTGGGAGGCGAATTTAACTAATTTACGATGCCATAAAACCTTCCAGCAACGTGCAGAAGAATGAGGAAGTACTACATCAAAGGACCCTTTTTTGTCGTGTCAGGAGCGACTTGAGAAACTGCAAGTCACTTCTGGTGTGAGAGAATTGGCCGTCTGCAAGGACGTTGCCCAGGGGACGCCCGGATGATTTTGATGTTTTATCATCCTTGTGGGAGGCTTCTCTCATGTCCCCGCATGAGGAGCTGGAGCTGATAGAGGGAGCTCATTCGCCTCTCCCCGGATTTGAACCTGCGACCTGTCGGTCTTCAGTCCTGCTGGCACAGGGGTTTAACCCACTGCACCACTGGGGGGTTCTCCAAAGGACCCTTTGTCACAAGTGGACGGTGAAACAGCAGCTTCCCCTGTGGCTGGAACCAAGCCTGCCTTAATGAAGCCGGAAAAAGCTGGAATGTTAAATTGCCTCTGTGTCTGTCTATAGATGTTGTATGTCTAAATATTATTTATTATTTATTTACTTCATTTGTATACCGCCATTCTCAGCCCTAAGGCGACTCATAGCGGTTTACAACAAGCAAAAACAAGGCGAACAATCAAGGCAAAAATTCAATGCGGCATCAACAAGGTACTTAAAAACAGTTAACACAGAAACAAATTAAACAATTTAACAGTAATAAACATTCAGTGGCGTCTCATAACTAGAATCATGATCCAAACTCGTCAGTCGTAGTTCCATTTCCTGAAATTCATTGCACTGCTTATTCAAATGCCTGTTCAAATAACCAGGTTTTCACTTTCCTCCGGAATACCATCAATGAGGGGGCCAATCTGATGTCCGTGGGAAGGGCGTTCCACAGCCGAGGGGCCACCACCGAGAAGGCCCTGTCTCTCGTCCCGCCAGCCGCGCCTGTGTTGCAGGCGGGATCGAGAGCAGGGCCTCCCCGGAAGATCTCAAAGTCCTAGTGGGTTCGTAGGTGGAGATGCGATCGGATAGGTAACTTGGGCCAGAACCGTTTAGGGCTTTATAGGCCAAAGCCAGCACTTTGAATTGGGCCCGGTAGCAAATTGGTAGCCAATGGAGCTGGCGCAACAGAGGGGTTGTATGCTCCCTGTGTGCCACCCCTGTTAGTATCATGGCTACCACACGCTGGACCAATTGAAGCTTCTGAGCCGTCTTCAATGGCAGCCCCACGAAGAGAGCATTGCAGTAGTCTAAACGGGATGTAACAAGAGCGTGGACTACCAATCAAATGTTCGCCATGTATATGTGCATCGTACTCCGCCTTGAGTCCCTGGATTATAAATACTATAAATAATAATGTCCCTTCCAAGGGGTAGATTTCTCTCACATCCTGTTGTCTCACCCCCGTTCTTAACTAGGAGTCCTTTGGAAGGCGGATGTTTGTAACCCGGGGGCTGCCTGTATACATGAATTGGGCCTGGAAGAATTGCTTGCCTGGAGCCCTTTCCCCTGCCTATCTGGCGCGGGCAGTGCTTCCGACACATCCCCACGCGCTCCTTACCGAGGAGGGTGCCGATGACCCGCCCGGCGCCCTCGTTGCGCCGCTCGTAGCTGTCCACAATGGAGGCCAACACCACCGGGTGAAGCCGGACCGCCCGCCCGCCGGGGAAGGGCGCAGCCAGCGGGGCCGGGGGAGCGGGGGCTGGGGTGGGAGGCGCTGCAGGCGGAGGGGCAGCCACTGCCGCCGGCAAAGGGGTCGGGGAAGCGGCCGCCGGAGCCGCGGGCGAAGGCGTCGCAGCGCCCTGAAGAGCCGGAGCAGCCTCCACCGCCGCCATCTTGTCAGCGAAAGGGCCACGCGCGCCTCTCCGCCGGTTCTGATTGGCTCGGCGCGGCCGTCACGTGACACCGCTCTCCTATGGAAATCGGCTTAGCTTTCCCGAAGCGTTCCATTGGTCCTAGAGACCGGAAGCCGAGTGACATCAAACTTTCGGCTTCTTCACGCTCGAAATATAGAGTGATGCTGAATTTCTAGTTTGACTCGTAGCTTCCGTTTTCTTGGCTCCTTCGCACAGTAGAATAAAATGGCAGTTCAAAGCGGCTATTTGGGGTTATATGGCTGTGTGGAAGGGCCCCAACTCTGCTTCAGTGTCTCAATTAACTAGAAATCACAAGATCGCATAGCAGTTCTAATGGAAACACAGCTATTTTAACTAATTACAATTGTGGGTTGTTGTAGGTTTTTCGGGCTATATGGCCATGTTCTAGAGGCATTTTCTCCTGACGTTTCGCCTGCATCTATGGCAAGCATCCTCAGAGGTAGTGAGGTCTGTTGGAACTAGGAAAATTGGTTTATATATCTGTGGAATGACCAGGGTGGGACAAAGGACCCCTGTCTGCTGGGGCTAGATGTGAATGTTTCAACTGACCACCTTGATTAGCATTTGATGGCCTGGCAGTGCCTGGGGAATCTTTTGTTGAGAGGTGATTAGATGTCCCAGATTGTTTCCTTTTTTTTTTTTTTTTGTATATAATCTTTATTAAGTTTCCAATTTACATTAAAAAAAAAGATAGAGATGTGTAGCCCGGGCTACAAGAAGAAAGTGCAATGTGTAGAAAATTAGTATTACCCCGAAATAGAAAGTAAAGGAAAACAGTGCTGTGTGAGAGGGAAGGGAAAAGAGGAAAGAAAGCAAAGGGGAAAAAAAAAAGATTTAAAGTACCCCAAGCCCAGTTAAAAAAAAAGAGAGAGAAAGCTGTTGCTTTCGACTTCCTGGGGTCTTCTGGAGGTCTACTTTACTTTCTTTCTCTTCTTCTTCTCTCCTCATGGTCTTCCTTTTTTCTCTTCCTTCCCTCCATCTCCTCCTTCATTAGATCAGAATCTTTTTGTTCTTTTGTTTAAAGTATTCCTTTACTTTACAGATTGTTTCCTCTCTGTTGTTTTGCTGTTGTAATTTTAGAGTTTTTTAATACTGGTAGATTTTGTTCATTTTCATGGTCTCTTCCTTTCTATTGAAATTGTCCACATGCTTGTGGATTTCAATGGCTTCTCTGTGTAGTCTGACATGGTGGTTGTTGGAGTGGTCCAGCATTTCTGTGTTCTCAAATAATATGCTGTGTCCAGGCTGGTTCATCAGGTGCTCTGCTATGACTGACTTCTCTGGTTGAGGTAGTCTACAGTGCCTTTCATGTTCCTTGATTCATGTTTGGGCAACGCTGCAGCGTTTGATGGTCCCTATGTAGACTTGTCCACAGCTGCATGGTTATATGGTAGACTCCTGCAGAAGTGAGATCCCTCTTGTCCTTTGTGGAACATAGCATTTGTTGGATTTTCCTTTTTCCTTTCTTGTAGTTTGCTCCGTTGCGTCCTAGTCTCCAGGGAAGCAGAAAACAAGCTTGCTCCCTCCTTCCTATAACTTCCCCTCACATATTTATACATGGCAATCATGTCTCCTCTCAGTCTTCTCTTCTTTGGGCTAAGCATGCCCAGCTCTTTAAGCCGCTCCTCATAGGGCTTGTTCTCCAGACTCTATCTTGTTATCCAGAACCTATCATATGAAAGTGCATAATTCCTGCTCCAACACCTGTCCTCAGGTAGATGAGGTGAGGTGTATAGTATGTTCCTCCATCAATTGGTGACTTAACCATCTCCCTCCCTCTTTTCCTTGACTTTTCCATGGGTCAAATGAAAATGCATGATCCTGACCCCCAACATATGCATGAGGTTGGCTTATGCCAGGCATGGTTGTTAGGAAATGTGGGAGTTGAAGTCCAAAACACCTGGAGGGCCAAGGTTTGCCCATGCCTGGCTTATACATGAGTCTATACTGCACTTTGCACACCCACCAGGGACTCTTTGATCTTTCCCTTTAAGACCCAGGGGCTACTGACTGATATGAACTGATATGGCAGTTCCAAAGCAGCTATTTTGGGTTATATGGCTGTGTGGAAAGGCCCTAACTCTGTTTCAGTGTCTCAGTGAACTAGAAATCACAAGATCCCATAGCAGTTCTAGTGGAAACACAGCTGTTTTAACTTTTTTTTGTCATGTTAGGAGCAACTTGAGAAACTTCAAATTGCTTCTGGTGTGAGAGAATTGGCCATCTGCAAGGACGTTGCCCAGGGGATGGCTAGATGTTTTGATGTTTTACCATCCTTGTGGGAGGCTTCTCTCATGTCCCCGCATGAGGAGCTGAGCTGTTAGAGGGAGCTCATCCGCGCTCTCTTCGGATTTGAACTTGCGATCTGTTGGTCTTCAGTCCTGCCGGCACAGGGGTTTAACCCATTGCGCCACCGAGGGCTCCAGATATTTTAACTGATTACAATTGTATATTTAACTGGAAATAATTGGAACTTCCATTTGCAGTTGGACACAGATAACCCAGGGCACTTCCACACAGCCCTGTAACCCAGAATACCAAGGTAGAAAATCCCGCAGTATCTGCTTTGAACTGGGTTATCTTGAGTCCACACTCAGATAATGTGGGATTTTCTGGCCCCTTCCACACAACTGAATAAAATTCCACATCTGCTTTGAACTGGAATATATAGCAGTGTGGATTCAGATAACCCATTCCAAAGCAGATATTGTGGGATTTTCTGCCTTGATATTCTGGGATATAGGGATATATGGAAGGGCCCAAAGCTATCAGTCCACACTGCCATATTGTTGTTCATTCGTTCAGATGCTTCTGACTCTTAGTGACCTCAAGGACCAGCCCACGCCAGAGCACCCTGTTGGCCGTCACCTCCCCCAGCTCCTTCAGAGTCAAGCCAGTCACTTCAAGGATGCTATCCATCCATCTTGCACTTGGTCGGCCCCTCTTCCTTTTTCCTTCCATTTTCCCCAGCATCATTGTCTTCTCTAAGCTTTCCTGTCTCCTCATGATGTGGCCAAAGTACTTCAACTTTGTCTCCTTCCCTCCAATGAGCAGTCGGGCTTTATTTCCTGAAGTATGGACTGGTTGGATCTTCTTGTGGTCCAAGGCACTCTCAGAACTTTCCTCCAGCACCACAGTTCAAAAGCATCTATCTTCCTTAGCTCAGCCTTCCCTATGGTCCAGCTCTCACATCCATAGGTTACTACGGGGAATACCATTGCTTTGACTATTGCCAGTGTGAAGTCTCTACTCTTCAGTGTGACGTCTCTACTCTTCACTATTTTATCAAAATTGGTCATTGGTCTCCTCCCAAGAAGTAAACGTCTTCTGATTTCCTGGCTGCAGTCTGCGTCTACAGTAATCTTTGCACCTAGAAATACAAAGTCTGTCACTGCCTCCATGTTTTCTCCCTCTATTTGCCAGTTGTCAATCATTCTTGTACACTTGTACAATACACTGCCATATATCCTGGTTCAAAGCACAAAATGTGGGATTGTATTTAGTTATGTGGAAGGGGCCTAAATTTCCAACTTGGTACTGTTCTATTAAAATAGTAAAGAGTAGAGACATCACACTGGCAACAAAGATCCGCATAGTCAAAGCCATGGTATTCCCT